TAATAGAAGTCTGGGGTTTGAAGTAAATTATGCAAAGTCTGTTCTTCTACCAAGTACTCAAATTACTTTATGTTCCGTTGTTCACAGAAAAAACCTTGCCAAGTTGACTAGCTTTTTTTAAATACTTTTTGGACAAGACAACCACAACCAGTAACACGGTGTAGAATTGAAAAAAAAATGCCATTTCATCACAAAATGACGAATATAAAAGTTCAAATACAAGTACAAATAATGGGGGACAGAAAAAACTACAAAACATTGGCAAAGCAAAAGTATCTTTGGATGATAAGTATAATGCAATCTGACTCTCAGCAAACAATATGAAGTACTCAAAATCCTTTTTTTTAGGAAATGTCATTGATTTTGAGTTGATGGTAGTTTCTCTGTAAAGGTTATAGGCCGAAAACTGTCCATTCTGTGAGAAGAAAGAACTGTTGGTAGGGCCGTTAGGCCCGATAATAGTTCTTTCTTCTCACAGAATGGACAGTTTGAGGTATTGGACTGTCTCTGGTAAAGGTTACCTGACAATCAAAAGAAACTTACATTCATTGTAATTGTTAACTTAGTGGACAGTTACAGGTAAGTTCCTATTTAAAATAAATGAATTAAGAATATTTAACCACAATGCTATGAGATTACAAAATCATTTTCTTGTGACTGTCAATGTTGAAAGCATGTCTTCTTACGAGGGAGAAAGCATATTTCAGATGCATATCAAATTCAGATATGATGAGCAATCTACTTATAATACAGGTGTTATTTTTCAAGTAATTTTGGGATTTTGAGCTTAGGAATGTCAAGATAATAAACTTTGAACTCAAAGTGGATGTTTTTCAAATATTTCTCAACTTTTGGCTAAGGCTTTTCAAGGATGCATAAAAACAAAGGGAACGTAGAAAGATTTCCGTAATTAAATCAACAAATATTTAGATGATTTAGAAAAGGCTTTTCGCAGAAAACGGAGAAATGTAAATGGGCAGTGACTGTGTTCTTTAACTGTCAGGGAGAATGTTGCACAATACCCAACGTTGATGTTTTCATGCTTAAGGAAATCACAATGTTATTGTGTGGAGAAATTTATTTGTGATACCATAAATACATCAGATGATTCTCATCTTGGACAGGGTGCTGTTATGAATGAGCTGAAATCATGGGGTAGATGGACCACTCAGGAAGCTCAACATCATATCAATTTTTTGAACTGTTAGCTTGCTTTTTCTTGGACTAAAGTCACATTGTTCTGCTAAAACAGAAAAGAATATCAGATTATTTATGGATAATACCAAAGCTATTTTATATATCAATAACATGGATGGTATTACCTCAAAGAAATGTAACAAAAACTTGCTAAAGAAATTTGGTTGTGGAGCATGAGTAGGCATCTGTGGTTGAGTGCATGGCATATTCCTGGTAAAGATAACACGACAGCTAACTCTTTGTCATGTAAAGTGGATGATCAGATAGAGTGGATGGTTAAGTAAATCTGTATTTCACGTGACTGTTTTTAAAGGGGACTGCAAGAGATTGTTCATTTGCTACATGTTTGAATAAGCAAATTGATGGATATGGTTCTTGTCATCCAGACCCAGATGCTAGTTATGTTGATGTATTTAATTTTTCATAGAAAAATATTTATGGTTATCTCAATCCTCCTTTCAGTCTCGGACCAGGCAGCGCGCATACTTGTGGCCAACACAGTCATGGTTCAATTGACAGATTAAATTAACAGATTAAATTCTTTTAAATTAATTCTAAATTTGTTCTAACAAATTAAATTCGTATAAACAAATTTTCAAACTTGTTATAACGAATTAAATTCGTTTAATCCAATTCAACAATTAGGGCTTATACATGTAGTTAAATATGCATGAATTCGATATCACGAATCGTTGACTTTGTTACATGTATATATATATATATATATATATATATATATATATATATATATATATATATATATATATATATATATATATATATATATATATATATATATATAATTTCGTTATAACAAATTTGTTGAATTCATTATAAGATATTCTTAAATTTGTTAACGAATTAAATTCTTTTACAGAAATTCTTAAATTTGTGATAACGAAACTAAATTCGTTTAAAGGAATTCCATAACTCGTTATATCGAATTCATTAATAACTTCCTGTTAGGCCATAAATGTCGAATTCGATTTAAAAAAATTAATTCGTTATAACAAATTTATGAATTCTTTTAAACAAATTTAAGAATTTCGTTTATACAAATTTAATTCCTTATAACAAAATTTGGAATTCTTTTACCGAATTTAATCTGTTAAAACAATTTTATTAATTCGTTATTACGGAATCAACAAATTTGTTATAACAGATTAAATTCGTTTTAACAAATTTGACAATTCGTTATATCAAATTCAAATTGCAAAATTATGATCACCAGTCGCGTAGCCTTGTGGTAGGGCGCTCGCTTCGTGATCGGGAGGTACCGGGTTCGATTCTCGTTCCCGGTGACGTGTCAAACTTTAGACGCAAACATAGTGACTGTTCCTTCGCCAAATGCCCGGCACTAGAGGTGAAAGTCACGGGTCTCTCTAATGAGACCTTAAAAACCGTGGTCCCGAGCCACGGTATGCGATGGCACGATAAGAATCCTCACTGATCAATGGCCCTGAGTGCCGAGTAAAGGTCTAAATTTGAAACCCTTCAACGGTATATGGTAACTCTGATGTGAATGAAAAAATTCTTGCAAGGGACGTTAAATCAATCAATCAATCAATTAAACATCCACGTCAACAGACAGCACTAGATCAAGTCTATAGATTGGACGGTTGTACTTCCATAAGTCTAAATTTGCTTATATTTTAATCAGAGGCATTGTACAATATAGATGCAATTGTTTATAATTTAATTTAATAAACACGCTTTACTCAATTTGTTTGCACACACTTTTGCAGTAAGGACATTACACGTCTTTCAAAAAATAGTTCAATGCTTAAATATCTCAAAGTTGAAAAGTGCTTCGTTATATATGATAGATTCCTCGCAGCATTAATTACACATCAAGTTACAATGTTGTAAAATTGTTAGAGATATTGCTTGCTACTTGTGATAAAATCATCACTAAATGTCTCGCTTTTTCCCTTTATGATAAGTGGTCGATTCTGCTCTTTGGATGGGAGGAAAACCTTGTACGATCCCTGATGTGATTCACCCCCAGTTGAAGTTTTCAATTGTAAGTTTTTTGTTATGGTTCATGCAATAAATATATTGTGAAAGCGTTATTACATGTTGAAATTGAAATCAAAAAAAGTATGAAGTGGGGAGAGAGAGAGAGAAGAGAAGGGATCCGGAATTAAATAGCCAACTCATAACTCCATAGACAGTGATAAGTCTGCTACTCTAGATATGTGGAATATGTTATCTTGTGTAGCTTACCGTTGTAATAAAAAGCAAAGAAAATAACTATTTTAGCTGAAAAGTGCATGAACTGAAAAGTACATATTATTATGTATTCACACATTGACAATTATACGGTCATACACGAGTATGGGTGGAACAGAATTACTGTATGGTAACGCATTGTGATAAGACAAAATACATGTATGGGAGGTACAGAATGACAGTATGACTCCAATCAAGCAAGCTTGTTTTATGATTAAGCTATTGTGTGTTTACAAGACTTTCAAAGATAGTAAATAAAGAAGCAAAATATTTTTCTAATTAAAATGTAGTAAAATGTTCTTATCACAGGCAATTCTTGACTGGGGATCTCTCAAGGACTTGTTTAAGCCATGGAGTTAATGAACAGCTTAAATATTTACGTCATTGATTTTTTATGCATAATTGTATATAATCTTGTTTTTTTTTTTAAGATACAAGATAATTTGATTCATGATAATTCGATTCACACTTAGCAACACAGCAGAGTTATGTAGGTCAGGGGAGAATAGCTCTCGGAAATACAAGGTCACATCCGGTCGTTAGCGAGATCCCTGGTGCTCCAAGAATCGGGAGACCCTTCATAATTCGACAAACAACCTTCAGCCCAGCGCCCGCTATATAGAGTGCAAGGATGAAATACAAGTTATATTTTTGGTTAAACATGTTATTATGAGAAAAGCAGTTTCAAAAGTTTTTTCTTTGAAATATTACTAATTATTCTAGCTACAAGAATTATATTGGTGATAAGACGAAGAAAAGTAAAAAAAACGTGAATGTAATTTAGTATGATTATGACGTCACAGTAATGTGACATCATAATGACCTTATTGTGACATCATAAAACCAAATGATGAAGAATGAGAATAAGAGGTAAGCTTCTCTGATTATTTTTAACATTATCTTATTGTTATAATACACAGCTTGTTAAGTTATTCGCTAAGCACACAGTGGCAGTGAGTGGTATCAGTAAGAGCAAAAGCTCTCTCTCTCTCTAGGTCTCTCCTCTGTCACGTTTTAACTCCTTGTGCAAATGAGGGTTTTGGGGGTTTTTTATTTGTATGATGTGCAAGATAGGTTATTAGTCATCCATATTTCAATAATAAAAATGTTTCAATAATCAGGTTCAGGATTTTTTTTTAAATCTAATTTTTAATAGTATGCGTGGTAGATCGAGTTCGGCGAAAAGTAATGAAATAAAAGACTTGCAAAAAAGACTAGCAGTCCTGCCTTGCCGAGATCGAAAGGAGTGTTTAAAATCCCAGGACCCAAATGTTTTAGGCACAGAGCTCAAAATTCGGCTTGCAATGCGTGCTCCAGTTTTACAGGAAATATACAAAAGTAGTAGAATCGTGCATGTACGGTCCATTTCGCCAAAATATCGTAATGTACCAATTCATGATATTGACTCTGACCAGGATCATGAACTGCTTTGTGAAATTAAAGTTCAGACTAAACTTTGATTAATAATTATTTATGCTTGAAATGGATGAAATTTTTGCATTAGATCACAGTTCTGTCTTGCAATAAAAATTTAACTTCATATTGATTGTAGAATAAAATAAAAGCATAAATTTGAGTATTACTTTTATTTCATTATTTTTTTCATTCACAAAAGAATCAAATATATTATCTAAGATAATCTTATATCACAAAATTTACAGAGACGAGACAATTAGCGCTTAACACTCATTAATTAATCTGCTTCGTCGCTTCTACATCAGCCTGCTCAATAATCTAAGTTAATATTTACATCCGACTAACATGGAAGATTTCTATCACAAAGCTATTCTGAGTACTTTAATGTGATGGGAATTTAGTATTGGTCTAGGTGTGTCTTTCTGGATATTGTATGTGTATTATTTTAACACATTCTAATTTCAGCCATTTGATGTCATGGACTAATAAGTCAATCGAAAATAAGAACCCTGTTAAAATAAATACACATACATCACTTAAAAAGTTTATATGCAGATAATCTAACTGTAATGCCTTGTCATAAAAAATACAACTGTCTAGGTTTACATGTAAATACAAATAGAATGTTAAATCAAGTTTGAACAAAAGCAAACTATGCTTTCTCATACTTTCAAACACACTTAACAGTAATATTAAAATATCACAAGAAATTAGTAATACAAGTTATAGATATATAGAGACCACTCATTGTGTACGCTCTACAACCCAGTGATTTCTAGGTTAATTCTACAGCCATGTATAAATACTCTTGAAGGGCATCAACTAATGCCTTCAAAAAGACTAGACTTGCACCAGACTCTCAGATGATACAATGGCATTCCGACACAATGTACATGTTACAAATTCATCAGCTCTGTACCATGGCATTTAATAATTTGATATTTAAAGTAGCACTTGGCAGCACTAAAGTAAGGTAATTTCTCTGAAAACGGGAGACTCAAGAGCTTAACACTTGTAAGAATATAGCACGATTACCTGATGATGAATATAATTTGAAGGAGAAACGGGATACCCTGACAATTTTTTTTATTACATTGGGATATGAGCACTAGTTGTCTACCAGAAGTCAATCGTCATGATATTGCCACTGGATACATGATTTGATCAATATGATTGGAATGATCCAAGTTCACTGCTATGACAGTCCTATAACTGTGTGCTGTGTTCAGGAGCTTTGCTGGGGCCCGCCCCGGTGTTTTTCTTGTGTGCGTCACGGGGGTAGTACTTCTCTAGTGTGGACTGGGGAATTCGCTTCAACATTTGTTTGGGGAAGATTCGGAGTAACTGCCAACCAATGTCTAGAGATTCAAAGATTGTTCTATTTTCGTAGTGACCTAAAAAAAAGATAAAGTAGTAAATGTTTACAAGCACCAAAACCTCTTCACTTTATTGAAACAAAAATGCCTCAAGGACATTATTTTGATTACACAACATAGCTATTTCATTAATTACAATTAATACACCCCAGAGACAGAGAAAATGGAGCTTTTATGATTATAAAAAGATTACATAACTTCCTTGGCTCTGCCTCATTCAATTAACAAAAAAAGGGGAATTACAATAAATAAAGAGCAGACATTGATATGTGGTATGTTGTCTTCACATATTAAAAGAATCCCAGAAACTTCAGCCGGAATTTAATCAACTTCAAAATAATATTTTGGACTGACCTTGGGAAATGAAGTTCTTCTCAAACTTGGTCAGGAATTCTAGATACAAGAGGTCATCTGGGGTCAAGGCCTCTTCTCCGACCACGGCCTTCATAGCTTGGACGTCTTTACCAATGGCATAACAGGCATACTGGAAATGTAAAGAATAATTCACATTTTCATTGAATGACAAGTTTTTAAAAACAAGAGGCCCATGGGCCACATCGCTCACCTGAGCATATTGGCTAGGCAAAAGCACAAATCAGTTCAGTATTGAAAAGATTACCCAATTTTCCCATATATTCCTTTGTAAAAATTTGATCCCCCATTGTGGTTCCTCCCTATCCCAGGGGTCATCATTTGAACTTGAATCTACACTACCTGAGGATGCTTCCATATTAATATGACTAAACATAGCTTTCCTGTTCTTGAGAAGAAATATTTTTTCTATATGTTCTTATATAAAACTTTCGATCCCCCAATGGGCCCCACCCAACCCCTGGGGGTCATCATTTGAACAAAATTTTATCTACACTACCTGAGGATGCTTCCATATCAAAATGACTAATCATGGTTTGCAGTTCTTTAGAAGAAGATATTTTCCTATATATTTCTATTTAAGACTTTGATCCTCCATTGTGGCCCCATCCTACCCACAGGGGTCATGATTTGAACAAAATAGAATCTACACTACCTGAGGATGCTTCCACATAAATATGATCAATCAGGGCTTTGCTGTTCCTGAGAAGAAGATTTTTAAAATTTTTCCTATACATTTTTATGCAAAACTTTGATCCTCCATTGTGGCCCCATCCTACCCCCGGGGGGTCATGATCTGAATAAATTTGAATCTACCCTACCTGAGGATGCTTCCAAATAAATATGAACAATCTGGGCTTTGCTGTTCCTGAGAAGAAGATTTTTCCTATATATTTCTATGTAAAACTTTGATCCTCCATTGTGGCCCCATCCTACCCACAGGGGTCATGATTTGAACAAAATAGAATCTATACTACCTGAGGATGCTTCCATATAAATATGACTCATCATGGTTTTGCTGTTCTCGAGAAGAAGATTTTTAAAGATTTTTCCCATACATTTCTATGTAAAATTTTGATCGTCCATTGTGGCCACGCCCTACCCCCAGGGGTCATGATTTGAACAAAATAGAATCTATACTACCTGAGGATGCTTCCATATAAATATGACTCATCTTGGCTTTGCTGTTCTTGAGAAGAAGATTTTTAAAGATTTTTCCTGTATATTTCTATGTAAAACTTTGATCCTCCATTGTGGCCAGGCCCTACCCCCAAGGGTCATGGTTTGAAAAAAATTTGAATCTACACTACCTGAGGATGCTTCCATATAAATATGACTCATCATGACTTTGCTGTTCTTGAGAAGGAGATTTTTAAAGATTTTTCTTATATATTTCTATGTAAAACTTTGATCCTCCATTGTGGCCCCACCCTACCCCCGGGGGTCACGATTTGAACAAACTTGAATGTACACTACCTGAAGATGCTTCCACATGAGTTTCATCTTTCCTGACCCTATGGTTCTTGAGAAGAAGATTTTTAAATGATGCATTTATTTTTTCACTAATTCTTAATTATCTCCCCTTGAAAGAGCGTGTGGCCCTTCATTTGAACAAACTTGAATCCCCTTCACCCAAGGATACTTTGTGGCAAGTTTGGTTGAAATTGGCCCAGTGGTTCTTGAGAAGAAGATGAAAATGTGAAAAGTTTACGACAACGACGACAACAACAACAACGACGACAGACAACAGACAAATTTTGATCAGAAAAGCTCACTTGAGCCTTTGGCTCAGGTGAGCTAAAAAAAAATGTATCAAGGGCAACATAAAACAAAAAATAAATGTTGAAATTTCAAGTGAAAATTTCAAATTTGACTGCATAGCTAACAGAATGACTTTGTTATAATTTTAACTCCATATATTCAGTTAGAATTAATTGATTAATTGGGGGTACTCATTGGAAGATAAGATTATTGAATACCCAAAATAACTAGTAAGAAAAAAAAGAAATCCTCAAATAGTTCATTTCTTTCACCAAAAACAAACCAAAGCACTTGGTTGCTAATTCTCTTATAATTTAATGATAGGTTAGTAATGAAATATACTTAATAAAGCTTTAATAAAAACTATTAACTCGGGAACTTAATGGCTATAACGTTGCTATAGAACATTATTCACATACCTGATTTTGAATTGAAACTTGAAATTTTCGTGATCATATTATCTCAAAAGCATAAATGAATTAGAAATATGTAACACCTTAATGAGACATGCTCAAAATCTGAGGAGTAGAGCCCTTATAGCATTGTCATGATTGAACAAATCTGTAACTCACCAGTTGGTTAGACACATCAGAGTGGTCTTCCCTTGTCATGCCTTCTCCAATGGCAGATTTCATCAATCGAGACAAGGAAGGTAGCACATTGATTGGTGGGTAGATCTGTCAAAAATTTTAATTAATTCGTACAAACAATAATATTAAAGTGTATGTACATGATTGTATAAAAACACGAAAAGAAGTAAGAGTTCAAAAGAGTTACAGTAAACATGGTCATACTGACTGGTTTAAAGTTGAACAATTTCCTTATTTCAAAAATTTTGCAAATAGAAACTTGACATACATGTAGCATAGTTTCAGCTTTAATTTTTTTTTTCTCTATGACAAAGATGAGAACTTGAATGAGGGATACACTGACAATTATTAGACATTCATCATTTTCTTCAACATTTCTATAGAGCTAACCATTCCACCTTTACAGTATGTCTGTTTAGAATTTAACTGTTAACATACACCTATATAACTTGACAACTTATGAATTCAAATATAATTCCTCCATGCTATTTGTACTGAAGTTGACCTTACCTGTCTGTTATGAAGCTGTCTGTCTACATAAATCTGCCCCTCTGTGATGTAACCCGTTAAATCAGGAATGGGATGGGTAATATCTAAAAAGGTATCAGATCATTTATAAAACATATTCATAACAATTCATGGATTTCAATGAAAGAGGTGCATAAGTTGTTCATATTTCCAACACTTTTTCTAAGAACACATGAGTGATTTTGAAAAGATAATGTACCACTGTAAAGTATAATGCTAACTTTCTTTTGACATTTGAAATGTTGGCTATTAATTTTGATGAAGGTAAATCTATAGAACTATGAAAAGACAATGAAACCTTCACTGTTTACTTTGAAGTTCTAAATTTATCAATTTTTATGACATAAACTTGTTCCACACCCACTCCCCCACCCCCACCCCCCACACAAGTATTAAGACCTGTGGAAAATCACATATAACCTTCATTTTTCACAATGCAAACTAGAAAAGAGAATTTTTTTTCAATTTTAAAATGATTTTTTTCTAGAAAAGTGAGTAAATACATGTACAATATTTACCATCATTAGGCATAGTTAAGATAGGAATCTGTGTGATAGATCCGTTACGACCCTCTACTCGCCCAGCTCTCTCGTAAATTGTGGCTAAATCTGTGTACATGTAACCAGGGAAACCACGTCGACCTGGGACTTCCTCTCTGGCTGCTGAAACCTGAAAAATTATAAATATGTAAACTACTTTATGTAACTGTACATGCATATGTACTTAATCTTCAATGGTTGATTCTCTCATGAAAAAGAAACCTAAATGTCATAATAAAGAAATTTGTTTGGAATATTTTACAGTAACTCATGCAATCTAATTATAATATTTTGAAGTGATCAGATTTTTTGTTTCATAAGTATGTTTAGAATTTTTTTTTTCTAAATTAATGAATAATTATAATACTAACTTCTCTCAATGCATCTGCGTATGAGCTCATGTCTGTTAAGATGACCAGCACGTGTTTCTCACACTGATAAGCCAAAAACTCAGCTGTAGTTAAAGCTATCCTAGGTGTGATGATACGCTCAATTCTAAAAAATATAGGAAAACACTTCAAAGTTTAGACTTTGAGAAATATCAAACACAAGTTATATCACATTTATGTTTGTAATTTAGCCATTACTTTCAGTAAAGCTTGAAACTCACGTTGGATCATTAGCTAAGTTTAAGAACAAGCATACATTCTCCATAGAACCATTCTCTTCAAAGTCTTGTTTAAAGAACCTAGCAGCTTCCATGTTGACCTGAAATATGAATATCAAATCCAGTAAGTACACTTATCAAATAAATGATAATTATTCAAAGGAAATTCTAACAATGAATAGAACTACTTTGGCTTATCTCCCTTGACATAGAAATCTCTATTTCAAAAGATTTTATTAGAATTTCCTCTGTTTGCTTCATCTGATATATAGGATATCATGTGCATGTAACTGTGTGGTGAGTATCTGAATACTTACACCCATAGCAGCAAAGACAATAGCAAAGTTATCCTCGTGGTCATCCAGCACACTCTTCCCGGGGAGCTTGACAAGACCTCCTTGTCGACAAATCTGAGCAGCAATCTGTGGGTAGGGGTTATAATACATAAATCAATTTAGCCATCAAAAATATATTTCTGTTTTGTTATTAATTTTGTATAAATGTGACTCTACTGGTACATAGATTTAAATTTTAAAAAGGATACATGAAATGATCCATAAACTTTTTCAGCACATTTTATTTTCATTGTCTCTCTTCAAAGACAAATTCTTGAAATATGCCTAATCCTATGCCCCCTCCTCCTAACCCCCCCCCCCCCCCCCCCCCGAAAAAAAAACTGGGGTCCACCCTTACTACACATGTACTTATAAAAGTTCTTTACTTCATTGTGGGGCAGACCAGCTGCAGAGAAGATGGGGATTTTCTGTCCTCTGGCAATACTGTTCATGGTGTCTATGGCTGAGATACCTGTCTGAATCATCTCCTCAGGGTAAATTCTAGACCAGGGGTTAATAGGCTGACCTGTGTAGTGAAAAAAAGAACATTTAACTGTCAAGTCTCTTATAAACAATATTCTGTCATTTGTAAAACATGTACTGGTATATGCATTCATGGATTGCCCTGTGGGGTAGTTGGTCACAAATACTGACAAGATAACAATTCATATCAATGCAGCAAAATTCCTCTTCAAATCAATATTCTGTCACCTAGTCACACCTCTGGCCTTGAAGACCAAAAGTCAAGACTCCATTGAAATATGAAGACCCAAATACATGTACTGGAATGTGCTCACAAGAACTTTAACAAAATTCTCATTTAGACTACATTTAGATTTACATGTACAATGTAAACACAACATAGCACAATGGGAATCATTCATGCATCATTATTCTACAACTTCATTAAGAGCTAATAGGTCTGTGTTTTTTTTTACAGTAACCCTGACCTTGGATATCTAAGTAGTCTTCAGCTAACACAGGTGGTCCCCTGTCTATAGGCTTTCCTGAACCATTGAACACTCGACCTGAAATTCAACAAACTAAATAAAAAATGTGCACTGAAATACAACAATATGTATTTCACAATATATTTGCATTTAATAATGTTAGATTTTTTTTAATATATCCCATACATGTATTTAAAAATAGCATAAAATGTAATCAAACAGTCAATGGAACACATGAATCTTGTGATGTGGGGAATTTCATGTAGATCAGAATTTTCTTTTTCTTTTTTTTAAAAGAAAATTTTCATTTTTTTTATTAAAATCTTAACTTCCATGTTGTACAAGAAACAATTTTGCCAGCTTACCCAACATGTCTTCTGACACAGGCATTCTCAGAATGTCTCCTGTGAACTCACAGAGTGTGTGTTTGGCATCAATTCCTGAGGTACCCTCAAATACCTACAGCAATACAAAATAATTAATTACAAACATGCTATACTACAAGTTCCTAATATTTAGAGTGAACTTTACTTTCATGATACAAAAACACTGCATTTTTTAAAAAGACATTTCTTCAAAAAGCATTAGGGCCTAATACATAAGAGTAATCCCTCCGCCTCTTTTGATGAAAACTATTTTTTTCCCTTCAACTGAATCCCATATAACTACAAGTACATGTAAATAAAGTTCTTGCAAATAAAATTTGATTACAGGTGAGGTCAGTAATATTTAAATGAACCAGACATAGATGCCCTAAACCATTTCATCAGATTTTGAAGATGAATCTAAATGCATGGAGAAATTACTTCCAATTGTTGAATTTGAAAACTAATGCTAGGTAAAATTAAACCTTTTAGCAAAGGTTACCATACTGTCAATTAAGCTTAAGATTTTATGTGCTTTTTTGTTCACAAATTTCTTCTGATCACATTTGCAAGGCAGGAGGTAACTTATTAGATTATCTGCCTTGTTTCAAATAGTAACTACAGTAAAACTCGTCTAGTACGAACACGGATAGAGCGAATTCACGGTTATAGCGAATTTTTCTTCGATCCCCAGCTATATAAATTTAATGAATTTCTTATGGATGTAACGAATTACGGATATAGCGAAGTAATTTCACAGGTCCTAATGACTTCGTTATAACTGAGTTTTACTGTATAAAATATTTCTGACAAATGACGGAATAAATGTTCTAAAAGTCATCATCATTTTTTTAAATCCACTGAAATCCACAAAATAAAACCTTAACAAATCTCTCTTTAAAAACCTATCGATTTCTCAGCCTATGAAACCTTTAAACTTTTAACTGACAATAAAATCTTCACTCCCTTAAAATACCAATAATTCAAACAATAATACTTCACAAAACACATTACCATTTATTTGTCAACCTGAAAACCATTGCCTCTGTTTGACTTTACAACATATGAAGACATATAAATCCTACATCTGAAGCAATAAAAGTCTATAGGTATACATGGGAGAGTAGGGGGGGGGGGGGGGGACTCTGCATTGTCTCCAGAGAGCACAGTATAAAATGGAAGAATGTAACAAAAATTGATCAATCTGGCCCTATGACCATGACAAAAACTAAGACTTAACTCCAAATTGTAAACATATTTTATTTAGTTTATTATTTTCATTTTCTATTCTCCTACTTTGTAAATCACACACATCTTCCTTGTGATACACTACAAAATAATTGCCAATTTCCATGTCATAAAGTGTTTCATTACACTTACTATCTAATGCAATAAAACAATGGTGAATGAAAATTCTAACTTCTTGGAATCCTATATGCTTGTAACTGTATTATTAAATTATCAAGCTGTCGTTTTCTAAAAATTAGTGTGGATGCAATTTGATCTTTAATATGCAGTTTTATGTAATACTAGTAGCAAAAAATTCTAATCAATATTGCAGCTACCTACTGCATATATCAAGAACTTGATTTAGGCTGGGGTATGGCCCAAATCATTTTTTGGTTAACAGTTTGCCTATGACCAAATTCACCTGTTCTTAATCACTGTCTCAAGGCATAGGTAAACAAGTGACATTAACTCCACTAAAATCCAGAGTTTCTATGTACACAGCATATTTCTGAACAAATCTAAAAACTAGGCCTGATAATATCATCTTCTAAAGTACCAAAAGTAGAGCAGTATATCAGATCTCAGTGTCAGCAAAAGTCACCAAGCCAAAACCCCTCCCAAGGTGTTGAATACTCCTAAGTATTGTAGTATATGTACCACTATCTAATGGGGGGGGGGGTGCAATCACACACTCTCTGTCTTGACAGATGCAAAACATTTAAATGAATTTCATAATTTTATAATTGCCTAGGATTTTTAAATATATCACTATAAAGATTATTTTTTCTCTTTGTAAACAACTGACAATGGTTGATTAACTTGTATTTTTAAGATGTATGGCTATATTTAATAGTTTTAATTATCACATTTTATCAGGCTTATTATGGAGATATGTCTTAAAAGTAGGTCAAATGGTCAAATTTTCAATGGGAAAAAATCATCCTTACTGGAGTGTGAGGATCATATCAATAACAATGCATATGATAGGTATATATATCTTAGCATTGCAGATAAAAAAAATTAGAAAAAAAAATATATCAGGTCAGTTGAAGATTATATCTTTTTTAGATACTGCATGGTAGTGCTACTGCATCATAGTTCAGTTTAACATCAAGACAGATGAGTTAAAATTGCCCAAAATTACAAGCTGACATTTACCAGTAACTGACTTGAAACTGGTGTTCACTTTGGTACTTTCCAGGAATACATACCATAACACATTTATATTGTAATAAAACCCTGTATTTCATTATTCTGTAGCAAATTTAATGTGATTAGCTGGGGCATCACTGGTAGATGAAGGGGAGTTAATAATGCTAAATACAACTCAAGTCAAACTACAATACTATGAACATTGACACTATGGGCTCTGATACTGTGTGGCTATTAAAGTGATGTGTACACTTATACACACTTTATCTAAGTCAGTTTCCTCCAATTTTTTCCACTATCAATAGTACTACACTGTAAATATTCAGTACTCATCTTAATTCATGATTGTTCTTTTCAATTACCATTATTTTACATATATTGTACATGGTATAATTAAAACATGTTTGTTTACCCCCAAGCCCCCATCTCCCAGTTTTTTCCCTATTTATACACAAAAGTGACAGGATTATTTACTATAATCATGCTGTAGAATGTCACTATATAGATACATATATATATATACATGTATTGCCGGTCTCTGATCTATGGTCTAATCACTGACCACTACCTGTATAGTGTAATTTTATGGATTCCGAAGCAAGAAAGACATAAATACTTCAGGTATAATTTGGACCACCATCCTTTGGCTAGCAATAATACATACATTTTACCAATAAATGATATTTCACTAATAAGAGTTGGAAATACAAATCTGTAGTCAGATACTGCCAGCATTTCACATTCATCATAAATAACTAACATATAATAATACCTTCAAAAACAAAATGTAATTTTGTGAAAGTAATTCATGTTGAAATTCTGCATCATCAGTAATTAAAATATATTCTTTTAAATTTCTAACAAATATATCTCATGCATCCAAAAAACAAATAACTGATGCAACCTAAATACTGTATGTTTAAGCTTATGTCACTTAAGCAAAGATCCATGTAATGGAAGGCAAGTATAGTGTATTAAATGAGACATATGTCATATCTCTGTCTTGATACAATGTTAGAACTATGTATTCGTGTGAGTGGAACTGTGTTTTAGAGCATAGGCAGATCCAGGGATCTGTTAAAGGGCAGCCAACTACATGCAAAGGAGGGAGGTTCTACCACATAATCATTTATAGGTAGTTTTCACAACCCTCTCCATCCCATTTACACCTCTTTGCTTGTGTACATAACATCTTAGGGAGATCTGGAAACAATTTTAAGACTTCTTATTCAGTTATATTTTTATAAACTTTTCTTTATCTCTAATCATATGGGTTTTTTTTTGTGTAGACAAAAAAAGGGAAAAAGGTGATCAGGACCCCCCCCCCCCCCCCTTCCCTCTTCTCTGAATCTGAATTTGCCATTGTTAAGTCTTTGGATTTGGTTTTTATCTATAAAATTCAATACTGTAGAATTTGTTTATCACACATATCTTACTGTGCTGTGTAGTATCCTTCAATTAAACTGTTTATCTGGTATATAATACAATACAGTGTGCTTATGATACCTGTACATTACATTGACCTAATTATGATTTACCCCCTAACAGCTGATACTTGCATACTCTTATGTGTACATAACATTGATCAATAGCAGCAATAATTCTGATACCTGTACAACGGCCTTTGAGCCACTGACTTCTAACACCTGTCCACTTCTGCTGCTGCCATCAGCTAACGTCAGGTGGACAATCTCTGCATATTTGGGAAACTGAAAAAAGGCACAAAAACACAGTGTCAGAGGCATTCGTTATAACAGTCAACTGTTTTTAATTTAATTAATCAATGGAGTCAGAAGGAAGCAACAAAATTTGAAATTTTAATTCTTTACAAATTTGACCTTAAAGACAATATTGTGGGTAAGATTTATTTGATTAAGGATAATTAAGATGATATATACCTTAACATCATCCAAGATGACAAGAGGTCCATTTACACCTGATACTGTTTTATATGCTGAAAAATATAAAACACTACATGTATACATGTACAGGAAGAAAATTACAGTAAATCATGGCATGTGACATTGTGTTGTGACTTACTTCAATAAATACTAAGAACACTTATGTTTGTTTTCATTTTGCTCTTTGTTTCTTGTTTGTTATTTTTGTTGTTACTTTTTTTTTTTTTTTTGGGGGGGGGGGGGGGGGGGGGGGGAGGTAATATTTTCAGCATTTAACTGAAGAAAACTCAGGGTCCAAAAGATGCAACACAAATGTGACTTATTTTAACATCAGTGTCTTCTTTGATATTTTTAACATTAGAACACAAAGAACCATCAATACGCACCTCATATTCAAAAACAAACATAATCTGCACAAACCAGTGAAAGCTTCTATTCATTGCATAATCAGAGCCGAACTTTTTATTTACATCTCATGGCCAGAAAAACAGAAAGCTCCAGATGCCTGAAGAGAAATCAATAGGAATCGGACTTTTAGGACAGAATGAAGAAATAAAGCGGAATGATCGAGAGCCACCCTGGTCCTCTTAAATCTATACTGGAATCAATGAAGTGGATTTAGGTAGACAATGGGAGGCAGTAAATGCAATAGGAAGGGAACAGATCAATATCATCTGTTTCCGTTAGAAGAGTGAAGCCATCAGACCTCTGAAGATGTATATGACATTAAACATTTGTGGGAAGATGAGACAATGATCTAAGTTTCTATAGATCTACCAGTGTGTAAGTGAATGATGCAATACAAAATGGATCCAGTATACTTTCTTTTTCTTTTTTGTAACCTTGAATTACTTTAAATTGATTAATTTTATTCAGTACTATTACAAAGCTTTCTACTTCGTCGACAGAAATTCAAGCAGGCTTATGGGGAAAAAAACATACTAAATTAAAGGGATTTTTCATCAGGACATTCCTATTCATGTAAGGATAATCTTGTTAAAAACAAATATTTACTTTAATTCATTGAAATTACACTTAGGTAAAAATCCTTAAGTATGTACAATGTCCATTTTCTCAAGACCTGCAGCCAACAACTAACTCAAAGAGCTTCATGCACAGAAAAATCTATGAACCCTGAAACTAATACAGATTTTTTTTTCTCTACAGCCAGAAAAGGACATCAATATTGTATTTACTGGTCAAGGTCATCAGTCATGCATAAAAGAGCAAATGGACTCACTAAATACAGTGTACCCCTAGGATATGATAGAAAATGGCACAGGGCATGACTGATACTTAATAAAACTGTGGTACTTAGAGTACTGAACCAACCATAGTCAACAATATGAATGATATGTTGCATGGATTACATCTCACTTGGATAAGTACATGCAAGTGTTTTAAAAAAAAAATGAACAAATTACAATATGCTTGAAATTGTCATTCAATATATTAATCAAAACACCCCCTACTCTTATTAAATTCAAATATCATCCCACTTTTCTTTTTAAACAAAAGCTGTCCTTCACAACGCATCAGAACATATCACTTTACATGAATTTGCACGACTGCAATATACTGTGTTGTGGTTGCAATATACTGTGTTGTGGTTAATTATTATATGTACACTTTTCATAGATTTTTCTCTCTATGTTCATTCAACATACACTTTACATAATCTTGTTTGAAATGCATGTACATGTTTTATTGTTCAGATCCTTATGTAATTGCAAAAGTTGCATGGTCTGGAATTCATCAAATCAATATTATGTACATAATGTCCTGTTTGTCATATTGAAACAAAGAAGGTAGGTACCAGTAGGTCATAAAAGACATAAAAAGCATAAGTATTCAAGTGCTTCAATTAATCAATATACACTGCATTTTAAAATACAAAAAATGCCCAAGCTCTCCTTATCTCATTAAGTCTTGAGGGTAGTCTAAAGAGTATTAAGGATGCATCCTAAGTTAAACATTGAACTGTACTGTATACATTGTACAGCACAGAACTGAGAAGAGTGATGACAGTATTTGCTAGATCATTCACATGTGAAGTTCAGGAGAAAAGAGGGTTGGGCATGTTGTCCAAGAAACTCAGCTAATTAGAACACTCGCATGGTTAAGTGGAATGTCCCAGATTCAAGTCCTAGTCTGGACAGCACTTCCAATCTCCCCACCTTCCAACATTATAAAAGAGTATGAACTAGACTGACCAAATTAACCATTCCCTTCAAGTTCTTTTTTTTTATTTTGAGATTTCCTTTATATCCATTTTAATGTACGTCTTATTACTACTTGCATATTTTTGCTGAGAGTAAGACAGTCATCTGCATTGGCACCAAGATTGGATGTTTAATTTTTCACCATCTCGGATGTGCTCTAGACATTCATTATGTGTAAAGTCTTTGACCTTAAAGAACTTTGACAAGATTTCTACATCATGTATGTGCAAAATGTAATTTTTACAAGTGACACTTAATTGTGATACTGGCTTCTTTTTTCCCTTTTTTTATTTTTGTGAAATGAAAGGACTTGTGTACATTCTTACACTTTTATGGTTTTAATATGTACACAGCCAAATGACAATCTATTCTTCTGACATAAAGTAGTCAGCAATTTTATAATGTTCATTCGCTGTTTCAATAAGAAATTGTTGCATGTGAAATGCAGGAACCTAGGTGCCATTACCAAAGAACACAAATGATTGAAAATGTACTTCATACCCCACACCACAGTCAATTTATCTATGAAGGGCAAATAGCTTATATAACGATACCCTGGGCGACACAACCTAGGTATCTCTTAACACGTCGACTGCGTACCGGTGTTGTTTGGGACAAACTGAGAGCAAAGAAAGTAATATTGGTTTAATCTTTCTCAACTTGAGAAAAAGTCCACTTACTTATTCTTGGCTGTGAAATATAGTTCCTCGTTATTGCCATTTTGTGGGTATTTCTGGCCGCAATATCGCTCAGCGGCCCGTTCAACGATTTCATGTCCATTTTTCCTGTACTCGCCATCTTTGATAGTAATGATCATGTGACTTGTGAAAGTCACGCGAACTCTTCAAAGGGGAGTAACTCCATGTACATAATGTGTATTGAAAATTATAGAAAAACTGATTTTGGCTTTTTAATTAATATTTTTTATGTATTACCTCTTGTTCTTATATTTACATTTTAATTTAGATGTGGTAGTCAAAGACTCCTAAAATTTTGAAACTGATTTTTTTTTTTTTTTTACCAGTGTAAAGCGAATCAGTAATGACAAGGGGGGGGCTCGAAAAATGACCCCAGTCATTGTTCTACACAGAAAAATGGACCTCGGGATCTGTAGAAAATGTGACATCGCCCTTAAAATCTGCACACCCTTCCTCATGACCCACGCAGAACAATGAAATTGTCAGTTTTAGTCTCTATCAAGATGCTTTAGTTACTATATCTTATGACAGGCCAGAAATTATATTTTACTTACTTTGATATCTTTTCACAGTGTGAAAGAATATCACTTTGGTATCCATTCACACTGTGACAGAATATCACTTTTATTCAATAAATAAATCACAGTATTTCACTGTTGAAAATGTAATTAAAAAAATCTACAATCATAAAGGTCGAAATTTCATGATTGAAAAATGAAATTATTTTCATAGATGATACATGCAGAAAATTGACCCCTGTGTCCTTTTCCTACAAAATAAACGCATTTCTCTATGACGGAGGGGTCATTAAGTAAGTCATTTTTCTACGGAGGACATTATTCATCTTTAAACCTGCTTGAAAAGAATCCTGACTATTCATGAGATCGGGGGAAAAAACTAATAATATTCGTTTTTGTATGAATTATACGAGTTATATGGGAAAATCATCACCAGTTCTTCTCAATTACAAAGATTACAAGGTCTTTCACTTAAATTGTTCTTATTGGGGGTTTTTAAAAGCAAATACTGCAAAATTGCTATGTGAAATTTTACACAATGGAATACTTGTATATTATTTTCCAACACCTGTAAACTCTTGTATATATGTTTGTTTTTATACTTCTTTTCAAAATTGCTATGTTCGTATACGGAAATATGTGCATGTTCCAACTCATATAACATCTTCCTTTTTGTTGGCGGGAGGGAATTTTTTGTTGCAATTTAAAATCTTTGATTCATATTCCCTCAGTCACATACAAGTTGGGTAACCAGTAGTTCAGTTTAAAATCGACACCCACCCCACCCCTCCCAAACATAGGATTTGTTTATCATAGAGGTTTTGAAAGACCAAAACATATAATATTCTTTAGGGAATGGAGCTCAAACATCTAGTTGTATTCAAAGACTTTATCTACGGTGTCTTTGATAGACCAAAGCAGAGTACCCATATCAACTATGCGTTATTTATCGTCATTTCCTTGGTCCCAGCATACTGTAAATCTGAGTTGAGGTTGTTTTAGCACTAATGATGAAATTCAGAGGAAGCTGAACATTGTGTCTAATATTTCGAGTCCTTTGTCAAATGTCTAAAGTCGGGGGGGGGGGGGGGATTGAAAATTACAGTATAAGAACAACCAAACACCATTATAGGGAAAAAAGTGTTTTTTAATCATTATAATTACATGTAGTATGATTCTGTATGTAGATAATATGGAAACATTACTTAAACTATAATAAAAAACATCAATTTGAATTATCATTATTAATGTTTATATCATGATGTGGTGTTTTCACATGTGTTCTGTGTTAGGCATCGGCGGTGGTAGATCGCCTGGTCCTCCTCTGGCTCCAATGGGAGCGGGTGGTGGATGGTCGTAGGCGGGCGGTGGTCCCAGTGGGGCCCCTGGAAATCCGCGGTTCAGGTATTCTGGTTCCGGCTCACCTGCAGGGGGTAATCCATATCCCATGTAAGGGTGGTTTGGATCTTAAAACAGAAAAGTCCCAACACCTAGAGAAACTTTGATCCGCCGATGGATGATATATAGTTAAGGGGCGGATCAAAGTTCATTTATGTATAGTAGTAGTTCGACTTGATGAATTATGAAAAAATACAAGATTCGAAATTATGATAGAAGAAATTACAGTAATATCAAAAGTAATTAGTTATTTTTATTCTTTTGAACTACTAGTGTTATACATAAATGCGGAACTGTAAGAAATGGGTTTTTGTGTGGAGAAGTTGAGAGACAGTTGTAATAGACTGACAGAAAGATATGGAGAGAAGGTGAAAGTTGAAATCAGCCTTTTATTAAGATATATATGTACAAATAGAGGGTCCTTTTTTTTTTATTTCTAACGATAAGATTTTCTTCACTCTCTTCTATCTTTCAAACAACCAATTTGTTTTGTAGACACATGAAACACACGCACCTATTTCGTATACAGGACACCCCCTACTTATTTTTAACACAGTAGGGGGTGCCCTGCATACGAAACAAGTGCCTGTGACATGAAACTCCTAATTAACTAACCCAAATGAATGGCATTTTCAAACAAACATTTTCCTCCTCTCCCCTCCCCCTTCCCCCTCTTTCCACCCTTTCTCCATTCTTTCCTTTTATGCCATATATTCTTTCCCCCTTCCTCATACTCTGTACACCCCACCCCCTTCGAAATACAGACAAGGTACCCAAATCAAAACTAGCACCGTGTAATTATTAAGCCCAAGACTTTCTCATATTTTTTGTCACACAAATAAAGCGTCTTCGGATGCAGAATTATACTTTGAGTGCAAAAGAACCGAAATACTGAATCTCAGGTGCCCAAACTTCTAGTAGATTTAGTCGCCAGGGGAGTAGCTACCATGTATGCTAAAGTATTCACATTATTTTTCAATTAAAAAATTTAATAGATAAGTTAATGGAAAAAAATTATGAAAGAACGTATATCACTTTTGTTTCATTATTCATAATTTGTTTTGTTTTATCTTCATATTGCACATTCTGAGACTTATTCTAACACTCCAAAATATCATCATTTTATGTGAATATTCTAGGGGCTCCTCCTGCCTGGACCCGGGGGGGGGGGGTACAATGTAGCCATAGACAACCCCCTTCCCCCCCCCCCCCTGCAGTCAGAAAAGCATCCACTTTGTTTCGCGTAGCTACGCCACTGATTTCGCTTCGTGCAGATACGAATCAAATTTTGGATGATAAAGTTCCCACGACTGAGAAAAAGAACATAGATTGAGAAACATAGTTCTGTAGATTAAGAAGTTGCTAAAACATCCAAATTCTCTAACCCTGCTTAAAAGTTTGACAATTTGGTCATTTGAAATGAAAAATTGGGAAATAAAGGATTTTTTCCCCTTCATTTATAATTTCCAGATCTAAACACAAAGGTTCAAAACTCTGAAAGTGCTAGTATTTTAATTAAAAATCTAAACTTGATTAAAAGTGAAAAGACGAAGGAGGAGTAGGCAAGCATAGATACATGTATGTTAACTTTCTTAATGTGTATATTATACAGGAAGTGTAGGTTTTGGGACCCGTTTTAAGACACAGTCTACCTACTCATATTAAAATCAAAGCCTTCATCTATCTCCTCTTCTTCTTTTCGCTTCTTCTTTTTGGAAATGTGACAGTAAACGATGATCCCAACGATGACAGCAATAGCTGTTAGTGCCCCAATTACTCCCCCGGCGATTGCCCCCGCGCTGAAACAAGAGGAAAATAAAATAAAGGAATTAAAAACTATATCCATTTTTTTGAAATTCTAAAAATTGAAATCATATTTGTCACACCTCGTTATCTCGAACTTGATGGGCCCATAGAGAAAAAAAGTTCGAGATATTCGAGGATCCGAAATATTGAGGTTAAAATACATAAAGAAAATGTGGTGGGGACTTCCCGTTCGCTTCCACATATCTATTGTATTCGAGATATCGATGTTGGAGATATCGAAGTTGAAATATATTTTTGCTTTTTGGTGATTACATCCTCTAAAAATTAATTTTTGCCTTGGTTTATATTCAAAAAATTCATATATCAGACTCTGTTTTCAAAGAAAGATTTGAAATCTGTTAATTGAGAGAGAAAGGGAGAGAGGGCAGCGATTTTCTACAGAAGTTGAATTCCTCTGTCATACTTGGTCTTTTTGCAGCATTCCCTATCGTGTGAGTAGCCACAGCAGCCATCAGCACAATACATGTAGTAAGTGTTGATGTTGTTTGAGTAGTATGTAAGACAGTAATCTGCATAGCTGTAGTCTGAAAGCAAAAAAAGAACTTTTCCTGTTTTGATTTTTTTCTAAATTCGAGGCGTAATTACTTTACCACGTTTCCTCCTTAATGCTAACATAAATTGATATCTTTGATGGTAAGCAACTTTACTCAATTTTGCAAATTCTATTTTTGTTTAAATATATTTTCTGTAGGTAGATAAAGACAAACTTTGCTACTTTATACGTAAACATTTTTTTTTTCAAAAGTAATTTTCCTGTATAATCACGTACCTGTCAGCGAAAGGAAAAACACCAGGCACACTGCAGAAATAATGAATCTGTCCATTGTTTCATAAAGTTCTAAATTATCTATCAAGACTAAAACATTCCATATTTTTACTGGCCCATATTCTTGTAAATGTACAGAATAAGTAATCCGTTTTAACACATTGGTTCCAATGACCTCAAATTTAAAAAGAAATCGTGTGCTTTAAAATTAACCCACTAAATTTTTACTTAATCTTATAATCCCCTTAATCACTAATATGAACTTAAATGTATACTAGTATTGTATAGTGTGTTTTGACACATTTAGAATCGTGTTTTCATAAGTATAAACGGGGAGTAAGCCAGAAAATGCCAACTGTGAGGAAAAGGTTAGCCTAAATACAAGGACTCTTTGCTATATTGGGTCATAACAGTGCACATGTTAAGAAAATATATTCACATATGAAATGTTTTTTTTTTAAAAATCAATTTTGAACATACAAACGTAAATAAACATATATATTTCGTAACTACAACTTACATATTATAGATTTTATCGCATCAGTCCACGAACTTTTTGATAACCCCTTGTATTATCACATAATACTACCTCCTTTATATTTTTGACCCACTGGATATGTTTCATATTTTATATTTTCAAGAGTATTATAAATGTGGTATTGTACATCTCCCATTTGTACCTCAATTGCAGAAGGATAAATATTTTATAATATTATGCTATTTAAATGCAATCATACTGATATGATTGTAAATGCCTCCTGAGGGCCATTGATCTGTGAATAAACATTTTAAAGAGACACCAACATCATCTACTACAAAATTTTATCCTCTCCTCCACACTTAAGTCTAAATACGGAGGAAAAAAGTATCAGTCCCCAGAATGACAGCGTGAACCCTCCCCTCTCCTAGAACTCATCGAATTCATAAATACTGGGAATGTATCTTCGCCAAAAATCAATGATCTAATCAGAAACTGTATTATACACAGGCAAAATGATGTATTGCTTCTTTACAACATAAATTATCATTTAAATGTCAAATATTTGATCTCAAAGGTACAGAAACATGCATATTTTGGAAATAAAGGAAAAAAAGCAATCTGATTTCAGAAATGTATTTATTTTGTAGTTTATGTATTAACTTCAGTTCACAGAATTTAAATTAAAAAAATTATGTTTTCAACAAATGGAAGATATAAAGATTGTGGAAGTCAAGATCCTAGACAGATATAAAGATCCTAGACAGATATCAAAATCCTAGAGAGATATCAAGATCCTAGAAAGATATCTAGAAAGAAAGGTAAGTATTTCACAGATGTTCACTGGTTAATGACAAGAGTCTGTAAACATTTACACACAAACTCACACACAAAGTGAGAAAATGGAACAAGGCAAAGGGTTGGACACCTGAGAAGTTGCACGGCTGACATAGGCAGATCAAAATTAATATAAAAACATGAATGACATATCAATACTATGAAAAACAACCATTACAATAATCTAAGAAACTAGTATTCCAATGACTGTTTTTAAAAGGCAAATCAATTAAAAACTACAAATTTTTAAAATAAAATTACAGGCATGTCAATAAAATGTCTTTTTTCTAAAAATGTTGCTAAAAAATTAATTCACAGAAATGACAAGTGCAGCTGATTAAACAGTAGCATCTTTAGTCAATATTGTTATTTCAAAAAAAATATTCTTCCTTTGTCCTTAGTTTTCCAAACCCAGGCTGTGGTCAGAAAGTTAATAACTGATCGCAAGTTTCAGACTTTGAAGAAAGTTACAGAGTTTTGTCAACAGATCTATCAAGCCAATTTACAATATTTTGGAAATTCATGAATCTAAAATATTGTACCTTAATCAAACAAGCTGCCTTTTTTAAAGCATTCTTTGACTAGTCCATATACTATTAACATAAATTATTAAACTTGCTGCATGAAAAGGAAAAAACAACCAAATACACAAACCAATTGCTCGAAATGCCATTTACAGATGATTCTTTGGTCCAAAACATGATCAGGATATATCACACATGCATAAAAATTTTCTTTCATTCACAATCACATGGTTTTTAGAACTATGTACATTAAATACTGTTACATACTAGCACTAAGGTGTGTGGTTACCCCGTACATACATGCTTCTACAGACAATAAATTGCACTCAAGTACAGAGTATTTGTCCTGGTTATCAGTAGATACTTTATAGCACTTTATCAAATTTGTCCTGTTGAACACAGCATGGTGTATTGTAAGGAATGGGTTAAGGTCAAAGAGAGATAACTCTTTTCCCTACACTGTTGTTGTGTATGGGTTATCTCCCCTAATCTGCTTGGCTTCGCCCATCAGTGTGTTCAACATTTGGCTGAGCTGGTCGTCCTCTTTCTTTAGGTCACTTACAACACTTCTGGGTCTTGAACTGGCTTTATCTAAAATTGATTAAAACAAAAATAACTGTTTAGATCAGGTATCAAATGAATTTCTACAAGAGGCACTTGAACTGAAATTATCCTGAGTAAGACATTTCAAAATTCAACTTTATAGATATCCTTGCCTACCTGCTAATGGAGTATCATCATAAATAGAGGATTTCCTTAAGAAGGCGGGTTTTTTGTGAGGTGATGGAGATTTTATCTCCATAAGGTAATCACAGGCATGCTTCCAAAGAGCTGAAATGGTAGAAAAAATGAAGAATTAAAGAAAAGTGTTACTTTGTCTTGAACTGCCATTCTTTTGAAAGGTATCATTAAACTTGCAATAAAAACATGACAAAATTAGAGAAAAAAATCTTTGCCAATGAAAAGAGATATACCCCCCCCCCCAAAGTTATTTTCCCTTTTCACACTTGAAAACAATTTTGCCTCATTTTAAATTCACCCAAACACAGCTGTAATTGAAAGACAATGCTGTTTTCTTTGAAATCACCCCATTTTAAATTTTCCCACTTGCAAGGAGAGCTAAAGGGGGAAAAATAAAACAGGGGCAAAAATTTCCCTGTATACAGTTATCTGTAAAGTAAATGATACCTTGATCCAGTAAATGCTGCTGAAGTCCGTCCCACCACAGGGCAAGGTCATCTTTGGACTCCGCTGCCAATGTGTACTCCCTTGATCCACCCCTATGTTTTGTCATGATGTGGAACGTGTTTTCTGTTCCTGAGCTCTTACTGGGATCCGAATCACTTATCTGAGTATTCTGTAGGGAACAAATTAATTGTGGATGTTTTAATACAATCATTTCAGTTCTCCAATATCACTACACCTTTTTTCACAAGATTTTTGTTAGGTAGTTATAAACATGACAAAATTTTCACAAATTTCAGTCATTGCTGTATGTAATCTATAGCAATACTAATGTATGCAAGAATAAAAAATATTCGCAAGGATACAGTTTCATGTAATTAAGCAAAAATAAAGTTCTTGCAAATAAAAAAAAGTTATTTACAATACTCTTAAATACAAGAGTACTAAGGACCATTTATAGAAGAAATTTGTAAATCATTTTCTCATACATAAACAGTAATAATTCTTTATCTAATATCCTTTACTTTATCATTTTCGCTTGCTTCACTTTTAATAATAGCTCTCCTTGTGTTTTACACTGTACAGATCCATAATTCCACATTCATGTAATAGAACTACATAGTGTATGTAAATAAATACATACAGAGGAAATTCTAATTAATATTTTTTTATTTACCTTAGTAACAGGGATCACTAGCAGTGGTTCTGTGACCTCCATGTCTTCTTTAGAGGACCAACAGGAGAGAGAGAGGTTCTTTAACACACACCAAAATGGTTTAGCTTTTTCCTCCTCCTACAATCAAAACGTTTCATGTAAGAGTTATCTTTCTGTTGTATAATTGCTACAAAGTTCTTGACACTAAGATGTGTCACAACATGAACGTTTTTTTTTTTCTTGTTCCAAAATCAATCTCGCATTAATCTTCCATTTTACTTATATGGGGTTATTTTCAACCTATTTTTTTCACCATGAGAAGGTCATTGGTGAACAAGTTCCCTTACCACAAGTTTAAGGTTTCCGGAGACAATTGGCTCCACTAAACACTCCGGTTGACTAGCCAATCTCAGACAGTAAACACCAAACAGTGGGAGTTCACAGGTCGTGAGGTCAGCACCAGAGGTCAATTGAAGGTCAAAGTTTCCAATGGAATCACCAACATCCTTCAGTTCCAAAGTTCCACTGGCCATCAGCTCAAAACGAGGACCCCTTCAGAAGTGAAAAAGTAAATATCAATGGGGTTTACCAGAGTTATAACCTGTTACAAGTAAATGTATTACATTAACAGTTCACGAGAATTACAATAGTGTACAAGAATTACAATAGATACTATTAACAAGCACTTTGTATCAATTCTTTTATCTTTATCTCATGACAGAAGAGCTTGGATGATAAATCTTCTAGTAAAAATATCAAATATCATAATCTTTTTTTTTTCTTTTCTTGTTTTTTTTTTTTTTTTGTTAGTTCATTACAAAAAACACCTAAGTGTTGGTAACTTTTACTTGGAATCAAATGTATCATTTTACAAATCCATAAATCGAGATGGTTGAATTGATTACAAAATATTTGTCACAAGTGGTGAAAAATCACGTCTCAACTGGGACTCCAACCCAGGGCCTCTGGTGTACCGTGTCAGCCCTCTAACCCCTGAGCTATTGAGACCCGATATATTGACTGATTTCACATACCTGTGAACCCGGTGATATATTCAATACTGAATTGGGTGCATCAATATGTGTACTGTAACCTAGTATCATGATGCATTTAATGTGTCTGAATATGGTCCAAGCCCTACATGACAGTGCATTAAATACATTTATATAAGACTTATATACATACAATGATACTTACAGAACCATGTTTCCTATAATGTCCGAGTCATTCTAAACAGGTAAAAAAAAAAGAACACACATGAATATGGAGCATAAAAATGAAGCAATACTTTTACAAAACACATCTAAGATTTACAAAATTTGAAATTCTACACCATATCTTCATGTCAATTCACTGTGATAGAGACATATTTTGCATGACAACATGCAATTTGACAAGGTCAACTGTTAAATTTACTGATATGTCTATTGAAAGTGTAAAAATTGAATCCACTACTTTTAAGTGTTTTGATTTCCTTGATGGTATTTTTTAACCTGCTTTTATACAGGATTATTTATTTCCAGTCTAGAGACTTCAATAATAAGCATCTTTAAACTAAAAAAAAAGCCCATAAAGGTTTCCCTTCTGTGCATTTAAATTCTGATAACCTACCAGCCCCGACAGGCGTTTCCCGACACTGCGCCCAACAGACCCTGACAAATCGTTGATCTTCTTGCGAAGCTTCTTGGGTGTGCTTGCTATGGTGAGATCTTCATGAAGTTTGTGACAATACACCTCAAATTTACACGTGAAATCGTGGGGGACATTATTGCTGTGAAAAGAATAATAAACACAATGAACCTCAATTACGTCCGCCATAAATTTGATATCATGAAAAGTGAAGTTTTTATACATATTCAGGTGTGACTGTTGTCAAGTTTTGTCTGTATTTTTATAAAAGTTTATCCACAATAGAGAAAGATATCTTATGGAAAGAAGCAAATGACATGCACAATTTGAAGGCCACTTTAAATGGAAATTTTGTAATTAATTTGTTTTATTTTCCCATGCTCCTTATAAAATATAACAAAGAATGGTATATACCCTTTTTTGGATTTGAAATATTTCAAAATACTTCATGAAAAATACTGCTATTTGTACTTACAAAACCATAATGTCATCAAATGTGAGGTCTGTCATACTGCGATCAACATTGCTCAACATGGACGTCTCATAAATATCGGTCCCGATTCTCAACAAACAGAACACAGCATACCTTCTGTAATCTGCAAAAAGTGTGCATAATAGAGATATCACTCAAAAGAGACGCTTTTAATGGTTAAAATGGCCAATTCATTAAAGTTTATTAAAAAAAAAACATCTATAGCCTTGCCTCCTTTGTTCTTGAAATGGTCCGTGTCTTTCCACATCAATGGAATGCGAATATCTGATTTAGCAAGAAAGAGAAAAAAATTACCAAAGTGTGAAAGTTTAAAATATATATATATACTTAATATATATAAATACATGTATATAATATGAGCAAATCTTTAAAAAAAACTTTCATCTTTAACAATATGTTAACTTTTGAAATGCCCCCTTCAGATTCTTAACAAAATTGGTATGAGAGTATCTGTGATCAAAAAATCATTACTAATTTCCTGTCCAAGACCAGGGCAATCTACAAAGGATAACCCAAGCATACTTTCCAATAAATTCTTCAAAACAGAATCAACACAGTCAGATTTTATTCATACATAACTGAAAATTTTAGCTTATATCCACAAGAAAAATCCAATTTACTGCTGGATTCTTGGTGGTCATAATTTTGTAGATGGAACTTGACATTTCTCATCAGTTTCTGCTTTATTGATAAAAAGCACAATTTGAGGGTCATGAGGTTGTCATGACAACTACAATCACTCACCAGAAATACTGACTTTAGCTTTACATGGTAGCTGGTTGCCAAGGGTTGATCTAAAATTAAAAACAAAGACATAAATCCTGGGAATTTATTGATCAATTTTTATTAAGAAAATATTGAGGTTGGTCCAATTTTCCTCCACTAATTAAGGTCTATAAAAGGTTTGTTGTAAGCTGATGCATGAAACAAAGTATGCTAGGGCTAACAATTGAAAGTCTGACATGGGAAAATGTGACCACTTCAAAATATGCCAAGTTTCTTAATAATGGGAAGTCCATAGTATAGTTAGAGTTTTTAATGCCAAAACAAGGAAGTTTTTAGAGGCTTACGAAAACAGTGTGAGAAATTCTCCCCATCATCATTGTCAATAATATGTACTTAATGAGTCATCCACTCATTTTCCCTAAATGTATTATTGCAATTGATTCCCATCATTAACTTAGGCTAGATAGTGTCATTTACTTGGTTTAGAAAGATAACATGCCACAAAAAAAAAAAAGGTCTTTACACATTTTTTCCTAGCACCTCTGCAGTTTTACGACGCTGAAGTTCTGTCATATAGGTCATTATGCGGGTGTTGGATGTGAGCAAGTTTTTCGCAGCCTCCAGCATCTGGGCGGGGTGTTTGGACGCCGCCAACAATTTTGCGGTCCCTTCTCGCATCTTGATCTCATGATCAATCTTTTGCTGAAGATCATGATCCTGTAACAAATATAAAAAAAAAAGCAAGTGATTTATTGTTCCTTAATTAATGTATGATTCCATCTGTGATAATGCTGACACAGGTCTGCAGTGCAGATGTAGGTATGTGCTTTATGTTCATGTCTTAATCAATGTGGTATGTTGTGTTGTCTGAGAGAGATTCATTGTCACAGATGTGATCGTAATCAGAAAATTCTCTCATAACTGTGTTATAAATATACCTCAGAAGAAAGGGAACAGATTAGTATATAATGCAGGGTTATCCATAAGAATTGAAATAGAAGCGAGGGAACACTTTTGAAGTATAAGGGTGTCTTTGGTTCCTCCCTTAGTGGGGGTTGCAATGCCAGAATAACTGGGGGTTATGTCATTAGAGGTGGGGAAATTTCCTAGCTCCCCTGGTCTTATGCACAACCCTGACAATGTATGTTTGTAATGTGTTATACCAAATAAATTACTAATGGGACTAAAGTGGCATTTAAAAGGAGGAGAAGACAAAAATTTGTTGAAGGCTTTAAAGCAGCAAAATGTCTTGGAATATAATATTACTGCATCATGTGAACTTCAGTATATGTTAATTAAAATGTTTCTTTTGAAGTACATTTGAAATCATTTACATTTGATGTCAATGTAAACAGCACTCCTTGTGTGCAAATATAAGCTGGCATGTCAGAGCCTTTCCCTGTGTCAATAGATTATTTACATTAAATCAATATCGTTATAGCTCCAATTACTGTCGACAAATGTACTAACGTAAATAACTTATTATAAGTCAGCCATTACATCTAGTACTTAAACAATTCTTAGTACTATCAATTTCATGGTTGAGTGAATGTAAATTTGTATAATATTCTCCAAAAAGCTGTGTTCACTTAATTCATACATAATTAATTTATGGAGTTTGTTCACATCATCTAAATTTATGTTAATAATTCACATCTCCCAGAAAAATATACATACACATTTACAATTTTGTGAAAGATAATAAACCATGTTTACAGTACTGCACAATCATTGCCAATGATCTATAATGATAAAACACCCCGTAAACCTGTAATTTATAGGTACATGTTAAAAGGCACACCTGAGATGTCACCTTTGATTACCTGGCTCATAAAGACCGATCTTAATAAGGGGTCAAGTAGGAAGGACTTCTGAATGACTTATTTTTATTTACCTACTGACTCATGAGGGATGTACACAACTTAAAATCTGTAAATCAGTCAGCACAATATGTCCCGAACCTGGCTGACTCATAATGAAAACACAGAGAGGAAATTGTAAAACAATTGCACATCCGTGTGGCAGGTAGTTCTTCGAGATAACGTCTGAACAGTTTTATGAAAATCAATATCATGGAAGACCTGCCAAGATCAAATCAATTCCCAATAGTTACGTGCATTTAGTGCAGGTGTACCTCCAGTTATGAATTATAAATTCGACTGGTCACCTCAGAAATGAACATCAGGTTTAAATCAATTAAAATGGGATTGGGTCCTAAAATAATATATCCTGTTTAAAATTCTCAAGATAAACATTTTTGTACTTGTAACATCAAAGTAAGTCAAGTTTTGGTAAAAAGCATCTCTCCCAATTTTTTTCACACATCCCCCCCCCCTTCAATCCATGATAATTTTAGACACATCAATAATCATGGGTAAAATGTGAACATTATAACAATTATAAACTGAAGACAGAAGTTAAAAGGAAGATAATGAGAGTCTGCTGAAGCATTTGATTCTTCAGGTCACTAGGGCTTCATTACTAAGCACACCTGTCCTCACCTGTAAACTAGACGCCAGCTGTCGGAGGTAATAGACACTCATGTCCTCCCAGATAATAGGGGAGGTAACCTCCTCGGACACCGGGCCACTGTCCTTGTGTCCATTGCTGAACAAATCTATCACCGGGAGACATTTATCCATCGTTACAATGTCCCAGTGATACTTGTTACCTCCTCTGTGTGATCAAGCCATCAATCAGGCCATTATACTTAGTAATAAATTCACTAACTAGCTCTCAGTCAGGACTTTCACTATCAGTATAAAGGTGACACTTCCTGTATAAGTCCTGAAGAACACTGTCTATAATATTTCTGAGAAGGTAAAATTTTCCTGTATAAACCACTGTAGCCCTGTCTGTTGACTAATGGAGATAGGACTTACACTAAGAAGATAACACCACAATGTCACAGAGCGAGGTACTGCACTGTGTTCGACCCCGTTTTCTCACATCCTTGGAGCACAATGTATTTTTTTTTCACACTGAATCTCTTCCAAGAGCAACACGTACTGCACATGCACCAGTAGCATATAAATAAGTACCTGTTGAATCACCCTGGGCGGCCTTTGACTGAAAAGGTTTCTAATGATATACAACTTTATAATTAATGAGAAAAAAGGAACTGCTTCACACTAACTACTAATTTAGTCCAAAATGTTTTTCAATGCAGACTGTTTGTAGAATTGGCACACACATGAATGAATTTACAAACTCATTCATCCTTAGTCACCACAAAATTCATCAATCAAAATTAAAAAACATGGAGAGAAAAAAAAAACATGTTCATTGAAGAAAACCACAGCTGATTTGCATCCTATTAATTCAAGGTGAGAAGTGAGTGACTCCTTCTGTCACAACGAACACTTTGTCACAGCCAGAATCCCTCCACATCAACAGTTCACAGCATATAGCTCCACGGTCCAATCTCTCCCTACACATGCACAATCCACCCAAATAAATAACAAAATAGTGATTACACCATCCTTGATAACATTATCAAACATTTCCCCCCACTGTTCACTTTCACCCTGCTGACACAAACGTTTTAAATGTCACGCAGGGTATAGAGAGAGCCCTTTGTAGATAGGCCGCTTCTTGTTGGTTTACACCCTCTGCCCTGTCCGACATACAAAAACCTTTATCCTTTCACGTGTGCAGGCAAACAGCTGGGTACGGACCTTACACAGGACTTTAATTCATTGATCCCCATGTCTGATAACCCTCAGGTCCCCATAATCAGCTGTTTTGTGTTCTTTTATTTACCACACTTAATTAAACTCTACCTACAAACTATCAACAATAAGGTTCTAATTTTAGTGAAAAATTCTATTTTTATGCCATCTAATTTGTCAAAACAAAAAAATGTCAGAAAATTTTCAATATTTTAAATATTATTATTTCCTTCTAATGGAAAAAATAGCATTTATATATATATAATTATATTACATTAATTTCATGGAAAACATATTTTTATCTTGGATATAATTTGTTTTATGTTCAAATGTGATCTAGAAATAAAGTTAACCATAAAAGGGAATAAGACTTTTTTTTTTTTTTTTTTTAAAAAAAAGGTAATAACTTTCAAGACATCAAATTGTTAAAAAATTGCATTTAGATCACACAATTTATTTTTTGGTATTTCTATTTATAACAAAATAACTGATTTACAGCTACACCTAAGTAAAAAACAACTGGTAGACATTTTGCAGGGAAAAAAAGGGTGTTTTTATAAAACTGGACTGTTTGAATAACGTCTAGACCTGGTGGAAAGTCCCTAATCTGATCAGTAAATATCTGAAGTGATTAGCCTTTTATAATCCTCGTTCCACTTCAGCTCTGTAAGATAATCTCGTACTTATCACCCTACACAGAATATATAAAATAAATGTACAAGCTTAATTATATATACCCCACAACTAGTCAACATAATAAAACCTACATCAATTAATCAACCAAGAACCTACTTAGATTATACATTTATACCCTAAAAAGAATGAAATGAACAAACATGAAATTGATCAGTGTTTTGGTTTTACACTGTTTTAAACAGTGGTGCACACCCCTGATCCCTTTGTCATGAACACAAAAGCTAAAAATCTGACAACATTGAATCTGACCTTCTGTTGCACAGCTCTGGCCGGCATCGCACCATCATCAACCTCCATTATTTGTCATTATACGAAATCTACTAGAAATAATGGCCCTCCAATTTTAATACGAACAATTCTCCCTGATTTTTGGTTTATAACTCAAACCTAAGACCATCCAGTTATATAACTTGCTTTGTGACTGTTGTCATTGTTTTCTATACATTCTGAAGCTGAATCAGATTCAACATGAGGATTGTCAGAAATCAATAACCCACATAGATTCTTTACCAAACATCAGCAACAAAAGAACATTTTCCAATACCAGGAATAAAAGTCTCTTGTTAAGAGTTATCTCCCTTCCTACAGACTCCCAGTGTGTAAATAAAATTTAATACTCCACAAAATCAGCTCTGAAATTTTACCTGTAAATATTAACCAGGAGGGATGCACTATTTTTAATACATTTCCTTGTACATGTACCTGTACATATGACTCAAAATGACAAAAAGGCAAAAGATAAAAACAAAAACAAAAAAAAGAAAAAGAACTTTACCATGGTGATTTTTCTTTTAGGTGGGGTGCTACGAATCTTGATGTACATAAATCTTTTTTTCATGGTGTGAGCCAAGGAAGGCATGATGGTTGACTTGATGTTTTCTTTTGATTTAGATCTCAGATGAAGATAAGATTGAGAAATGTGACCCTTGATTCATACCAGGGACCTTTTATACACCCATATCCTATGTCTAGTGTGTACCAATGTGTTAATTTTACAATTAATCATCTCTAATTTGTGAAATTTCTACCATTAACTGTACCATATAGCCCTCAGTCAGAACCTTAGTTGTAAAGACACAATTAGACAAGTCACCTGGGGGTAAAAGAAAATTATCAAAAGGAATGTGTAAACTTTATGAGATATAATTCTTTTTCTGGTAATTGATTGTAATAATTAAAATTTAACAAATATTTACTTAATTAACTGCAAATATATAAAGTGTATAGTAATTAATTTAAATGATCATTTTTTTTTTAAAGAATGAAAATTACTTTATGAGTGAAAAATAGGTTGAAACATCATATTCAGATGATAAGAAATATCTTTTTAAACACTAGGAACAACTTTAAAGCATAAAACACTATTCAAAAAGCAAAGAAATAAAAAAACTTCACTTACATTTATGAATATTGGTAAATCCTTTGACATTGTATTCCAAAATGATAAAACTAAGGATTCATTTCCTGAATGCAAATTTTTTGAAAAATCCGGCCTACTTCACTTATAAGTACTTCTATATCTGGATGCCAATGATTTCCCCAAATAATAAGAGAAAAACTTATAATCATGTCAAATGTCACTGCGTGGCTCTAAAAGCTAGAGCGTTGATGTTTGCCTCCGTCTCTTGAGGGACTATGTCAGAAGTAGTTTTTTATTTGAGAGACAGACCAATTCTCGTAAAGACGGATATGTTCACAGGAAATCTGGACATAAAATCTGGACTACTGTGTCACTTCATAGCCATTTCTGTCAAGTTTATAATGATTACATCTGTTTAATCACATTATAATTACTAGTTCTTCCTTTAGACAGATAAGCACATTGTTGGGCAAAAAGACCAACTTAATATGCTGATGATTTTTATGAGATTCTTGTACCTCAAATCATAATAATAGTTATCATGGTTGTAGTATAAATAAAGAATACAAAATTAAGGCTGTGTAGTATGTGTTGGAAGGGGGAAAGGTATAGTTTAGTCGGAAAGGAGTGGGGGTTAAAAACTTTTAATTTTTTTTCCTTGGTGATATTTTTTTTATAAGGAAAGATCTCTGAAAAGAAATCTTTCTCACCAACAAACAGAACAAATTTAGATATTTTCTCCATAAAAACAAAAACATATCAAACATTTTTTCACCCCCAAAAAATCACCTCATGGAATACTGGGCATATATATGCATAAGTATACTGTTGATGGCTATATTATGATAAGCAATATAACTTCCTGAATTTCAGAACAAAGAAGAAGTCAATGCTTTCTTGAAATTATCCCTTGGTGCCCAACCCCTGAGCCATATGGTTACTAGAATGGTTTTCATTATGTACACACTTAAAGTTTTACCTCAAAAGTGGGATCCATTTCAAATTCCCAAGTCCAAGTTTTGTGTGTTTATATCTATCTTCCTTATGGCTTCTATCTTATTTTTATTGTTCAAAAAAATTAATTGTTTGTAGCCAATTCATCCCACTTAGAAAAAGATATAAGGAAATAAGGATCCTCTTTCATGTCCTTCAACAAACTTATTATTTTGAAAAGGAATAAATAAAACAGAATGAAATGGGTGGAGTGCTAATTCAACCAATAAAGGGTTATACAATTTTCATATTTAGATGTAAATTTTTTTTTTTAAAAATTTAAAGATTAACTTCATCCACTTTTCACAAAATTTACAGAAGTGAAAGTCCCCAACAATGTTTATAAACATGTATTCATTATCTGCACCATGTGCCCTCTATGTCAGGGCCCATAAAATCTGCTGTAGTGATAAATTAGAGGACAAATGAGACTTAATAGTGTATAGTTAATCTTTACAGTGTTTATAGTGATGTCGCTCTGGGACATAGGACTGAAAATAAGGAAATACTAGTCTAGTGAGCAGTGATACTGTTTTAATTACTGCTGCAATTTTGTCATTACAATTATAGACTATAAGAGATCAGGAGTTATGCCCCTTATACTTTCTCAATGAAAGAATCCAATTAAACTTTAAAGAATTGTATGAAAGAGGGAGATTACTCAATCTACAAGGAACCAAACAACAATATCACCTAGACAGTGGATGTTAATTAACACAGCAGGGGGGGTGATATCAGGTGTTTCATACACAGGGGTGTGTGAAGAATTTGATCACAGGACTGCCTGGGGGGGAGATGTTATACACACTGCTGTCACTATCACTTATCTTTACTCATCATAGAAACTGTGAAATAGATTCCTTCATTAATTACATTAGTTAATACCCTTTCTTTACTAGAAAAATACTGTACAAAAAAATATTATACATAATTTTGATTTTTCCATATATCTTTTTTACATTCAAACAAATTGGTATTATTATCATTTATAATTTTTAATATCAATATTTTAAGAAATAAATAACTTTTTTTTTTTTTATAATTTCAGATAAATAATATATCATGATTGAACACATTTAAGACACAGTGAAACTAGGCCCTAAAAGTCATAAATTGTGAATTGCAAAAAAGTACTATTTCCCCTTGTGAACTATGAAATATGTCCCACTAGAATGTGTGCATTACTAATGTAAGGCAGGCAGATGAGCACCCTGCTGATGCTATCAAAAAAATCTCTTAGTACCCCAGAGGCCCCTACAGATAGGAAAGTGACAAGCCATTATCAGATCTTTGGTAGCATTACTTCCCCAAATTAATCCTTGTCTATTTGTTATCCACAGGCTGCTTTGTTCCAAGGTGTTTACCAAGGAGATTGTTAAGTTTAATAGGTGGCAATAGGGAAATTTGTATTTATTTTAAATAAGGTCACTTATGACAGGATATTGTCAAGTTCCCATGCTCATAACATGTGATAATGACAAACCTGTATACCTCTGCCTCAATGACTTTTGACAGAGGTGTGGTCAAACATTACCCTTATATCTAGTAAAATACTAAATCATAATATGATATAGCACTGTAGACACTTTTACAAAACAAATCCTATATAAACCATTCACTAAATGCTATTCTCACGTCTGTTATAAATTTCTAGCAAAAGTAGATTTTTTCACTAAATTATATGCATGCAATTGAAAATCTAAACAAAAAAAAGGTGAATTTAACGCGAAATTGAAAAACATACCACATCTTCTGAGCATGTTTTGCAGTATCGAATTCGGTATGCCTGAGCAAGATGGTTGAGATACTTGAAGTTTGTGTCATAGGGCAGAGAGTAATCTTGGAATTTCTTCATCTTTTTCCTCAACACATTAATCGACACTCTTCTTTGTAGACTGTGGCGTAAGGTATCATTTCTTCTCAGAGACTCCCCACGTTGTGGAGTGAAGACTGATTTATCAATCACTTGTTTTGGTGGTTTCCAAGACATACTTTGGGGAGAAACATTTTCAGCATCCTCATCATTCTTAAACAATATAAAATTTTACACAAAAAATTTTAAAAGATGCAAAAAAGATGACTCATAGTTGTATGATGAAAGTTATCTAAATACTTCAATACTAAACACTTACACCATGACCATGATGACCATTTGACTGAGCATCATGATACAAAAAAACTAATTATATGAAAAAATTCGAATTATCATTATTTTCTGAAATACTATCTTACGTTTTTATTATTTAAAATACCATACATAAAGAATCTATATACCAATTCGCTTGTCATTCGAAACCATACCTGAGCATCATGATGGTCGAAGCGAGCAGGAAGTTGCGGGAGTTGTTTGACATTTTTGGAAAATGGCAATGCCGATTTCGACGTTTTCTTTCTCCTCTTTAGACTAAGTCCACATGTACCGAAAACAAAAGTAAATTCGTCGTTCTCCTCTTCTTGAATTTCGCGCTTGCGTTTACGTGTTGGTGTATCCATCTTTTCGTTGGCGAAGACAACTCTCTAAAATTGAAAATAAACAAAGTAGCGCCATCTATCAAGGTGCGAGTCTAATATCAAAGGAAGATAACTCTGCGTATACATATATATTGCGAGAAAAAAAAAATTCCAGCCAATTTTCATTTTTGGTTGATGGTTAAAGTAAAGAATTTTTAATTATTATTATTTTTTAAGAAAAAAAAATATGAAAATGTTTACTTCCATGAGGATGAATTTCAAACTGAACTAATTTAAATTTTATAAAATAATTTAAAATAGAAATGAATTACTCCAAATCACAAATCAAACCTCTGCATACAGAATGATTATTAGTTCATATGATTTTATTTCTCTAATTTTGGTTGTTTAAATATTGCTTGTTTCCTGTTTGATTAATGTGTTTTTGATTCCAGGTAGTTTCTTCAAAGCGCCTCTTCCCTGGAGCAAATTTTAATGTTCTGAATATTAAACTGGTTTTTAAAAACATGCATATCTTTGATCTTAAATTGAAAAAGTTTTGAAATTAAAATTTTTCATTTCTACTTTAAAAAAAATTGACTCTAAGGTCATGAATAAATGAAGAAAAAAATTATGTAAATTAAAAAAAAAATCATGCATAAAACATGTAAAAAAAAATGTCACAAAAAACTCGCAATGAACAAAATAGAAATCTTCCTTTATTTTTAAAATTGTGATAAATACTCAAGTATTTTCCCTACATTTTTTTCATACAAGATATTTATAACAATTTCGTTTGAATAAAAAAATATTCAAAAAGACATTTTAAAATATATGATTAATAAAAATCATTATTAGTATATATCACATAAAATCTTAATTAGGTCAGTAGAACTTCAGCTACTGTACCACCAAGATTAATTTTTCACCCTAAACATCAAGGGACTAGCAATAACTCTGATTGATTCCATGAAAAGTAGTGAGCTATTCACCTATTGTTAAATCAATTATTTAGTAAACTCATCTCTCTCTCTCTCTTTCTACTGACTATACAAAGGTACATAGCTTTAATGAATTTTACCCATCTTGTCGATTTCTGACCAAGAAATTTGATGACATATATTTCATAAACAAAGGTGATGGATAACTGGTGTTGCATTTAGATAGTAAAGACTACAAAGTGTATAAGGGGAAGGATTGGATACATGAAGGTCTAACGCCAGGTAACAGATGGCCCAGATGATTTTGCATTCACACCTGCTGCAGAATTATTGACTTCTCTGCACAGACTTATCCTATTCGATGATCTATGGCCTGGAGAGGATGAGTAAGATTTAATTTGTTTTTAAATTTTGGGATAAATCAAATAAGAAAGTATTTTATTTTCTTTCATCATTGAGTTTATGAAATATGGATTTTTTAAAGAAGTTCAAGTAAGTCTACATATTATGTAATCTACATGTACAACAAATGTTTCCCAGTCACAACTAGACAATGTTTCAGGCAATAAGCCTTAAAATCCATCACACAGAGAGTTATTTGCATAATACATAGTCTGTCAATAACTGATTCTTTGGTTAAGATTAATTTTGAGCTTTAGAGCTCAGATGGTGTGATAGTGTACCTGGGAAATGACGAAACAGAAATGTTATTAGGGAGATAATCAACGCGAATGTATTGACAAAGCTATTAAGTTGTTAACTTTTCCAGTACCTTATTAAAGGTGTCATATGAAATTTTCCAGGCATTGAACCATATTATTTGATTAGAAAACCATTTAGAAACACTGCCCTTTGTGCAATTTTGCCAATTCATCAGACGTTATTTCTATTTTACAGGCAAGATCCAGAGGGCTCGATTCACGATACAAAGATGGAAGATGAAGTGAATGATATAGACTACTTGAATGACATCATTCCCTATAGATGTCCAAAGTGTAGAGATGAGAGAAAATTTTCTTCCCTCTCAGATTTGCGTCTTCATTTAGAGAAAAATCATTCGTACCAGGTTGGATATGTGAGACCTCACTCAAGGACGCAGGTCTTTGATGCCAAATCTGTAAAAACCAAACACAACACCACCATCAATAAAGGATTTATGAGAGAGGAACCATCTTGTTCAAGAAATGGATCCTTGGATGGAAGATCTTCCCCTTTACTTCTGAGCTTCAAGGAAGATGCTAGGATACTAGAGAGTGAACTCAAAGCTGCAAAGGAGGCTGAAAGGAGAAATAAAATGAGATCAAAGAATGGAGAGAATGGAAAAATAGATGAATCAGGCACAATCCATAATTTACATCACAAGTTGATGTCGTCTAGAAGTAGGCAATGGAGAGCCGAGGAGGCTTTGTATAATATTGACAGTGTCCTGGAAAATCTAGAAAAGTCTGCCGAGAAGAGATTCCAGGATCAGAGAGGAGTCATCAATGATCTTGTCTCAAATCTAGACAACAGAGAAGAGCAATTAAGTCAAGCTAATACAACACTTCAGAGTTTGCAAAGAGAGCGACAGAAATTAATGAGAGAAACACAAGAGATGCTTCAACAAAGTGAGATAAAAAATGAGAGACTCGTATTGGAACTTGAGCGAAGGGATGACATTTTACATTCTGTGGAGGGTCAACTGAAGGACCTCAGGGTCAAAACAGAGGAGAGTATCCGACTAAAAGACAATGAGTTGTTAGTGACAAAGGATCGAGTTCATCAGCTGGAATTGGAAAAGGAGACTTTAGTGAGAGATGTTGAAGAATTATTGATGGCAACTGATCGAGACAACACAGTCCTAAAACAAACACTTGATTCCAAAGAGAGGCAGCTCAAACTTGTCAATAATGAACTGCTTAAAATCAGGTGAAAAATTTTATTGTTCTTACTTAACTTTCATTCATTTTCATATCTGGAATATTTTCAGTTGAGAATTGAACTATGCATTTCGTATATTTCAAGGGGAATAACTCTTCTCAAATAACTTTAATTGAGAACATTTCTCTTCCAGAAATGAGCAGTCTGACTTAATGGATGAGAGTATGAAACTGTATGAAGCAGCTGAAAGGGGAAATCAGAAATTAGAGAAGGTAATACAAACCAAGGACAGTAAGCTTCATCAGGCTGAGAATGAGCTATTCAGGATAAAGAAGGTAGGAGAAATAGATAATGCGCTATATAATAAAATATGTCTTGTAAATCACAGATAAAAATAGTGGACCTGAGAATTAAAAAAAAAAAATATTAAATTAAAAAAAAATAATGATAAACAAAAAAAATTAAACAATTACCCCCCCCCCCCCAAAAAAAAAGAAAGAAAAATAAATGACTACAAGAAAATCAAACATAAAATAAAATTAAAAATAATCAAAATACATTTTACTTGTGATCTGCAAATGGTGATCTGGAATTGTTCATAAGACTTCTGAAATGAATTCAATGTCAATGCATGGTTACAATATGAAACATAATTCTCCATAGATGCAAGAAAATTTAGTGAGTGAATCCCAGCTTCTGACAGAGCAAGCTGACAGTCACAGTCAAGCAATGAGGAAGGTCCTGACAGATAAAGAGGGGATCATCTCCTCCATCAGACAGGAACTAGTGAGGGTGACAGAGGAGAGGGACAGGCTATTACAGACAATAGAACAAGCACCTGTCAAAATTCAGGCCTCAGAAGGAATTAATAGGACTGAGGCTGCCAGTTCTCTCAACACGATGGGGATAATTAATCATCATAAACAGGAGTTACATCATCAAGAGGATATAACTCTTCATCAAAAGTCTGATCAACACAACCAAAGGGACATAACTCCTGTACAAACTGTAAATAATTCGGAATTAAGCAAACTGCAAACTGTACTAGAGGAGAAGCAAACTCATTTGGAGGAAAAAGAAAGGTAAGTCACTTTTGATAAGTAAAATAAGACCTTTTTTGTGTCTAACTGCTTTTAGATTTTTCCACCTCAGAGATTGTAAACCATACATTCCAAACTGTGATACCTTCTGACACTTAAATTTCTTTTTAAAAAATCTTTTGTGTAATAGAATATTATATGCTATGTGATCAAGATCTCCTTTTAAAAATAAAATGCGGTATCTCTAATTCCAGGGAGCTGGAATCTTTGAGGCAGTTTATCAACACTACAGCAGAGAAAGAGACAGTAGCTCGTAAGAAGCTGGAGGAGTTTATCAGTGAGCTGATAGATCGAGCTGACCGAGCTGAGAGGGAGCTAGATATGATGAGGAGAGAGGCCAAAAAAACAGTTCACCAATCAGCTGATATACCAGAGAGGGTAAGTACATATATGTATGTTCTGTGTGTTTATACCTTCTTCCAGTTAGGGCAAATGTTTTGAATAATAAGGTGGTAGTGAGTGATAAGCTGCAGTGTTATCAAATACCTATACAGTTATCTGCAGTTAGCAATGAGCAATGTAGCCTAACAAGTAATTCTCTTTTTAGGATGTACAAAACATAAAGGAAAATCAAAGACTGCAGCCCTCTAGGTAAGTAGTAGATATCCTCTGTATCACATTTACTGGAGCATACACTCTGACAATGAAGATACTGCAGAAAGTACTTCTACAATTTCTTAAATTTAATAGCATTTTATAATTTATGATATAACTTATGGTTAAGATATAATGTAAATCTTTCAGAATCCCTGAATGCAATCAAATAACAGCAAACTCTACACTTGGTTCATCAGCTCTACACTCTTCTTTGGCCCGACATCTTGTGGAGGCGACAGTTGAACCATGGCAAAAATCCTTTTCAGCATCAGCTGTTAATATCAGCAAAGAAAATCTACATCAGAAAGACTTTGAAAATATCAATAAAGAAGATATCAAACCTGTTGCTCAAAGAAATAGTAGGAGGCTCCCCCCAAAAAGAAACAGAGCACATCAGCCAAACGAATCAAAGTCCTTCAGAGCATTACAAAACCAGTCCTCCAATGACACAGTTGTGTCCCCTGATGAAGATTCTACTGAGTACTCTCCCTTGCCAGTTACAAAGTTTCCAGAGAGAAGACAACAGTTTCAGAGAACTGATTCTAACCAATCCTATGTTTCACAGAGACACGGGTGGATGGATCCAGATTCTGTTTTGTACAGTGAGGTTATGGATGACTCCGAGTTGGAAAAAGTCAGTGTTGAATCCTTTAACAAACTTCCAGATGAACTTCACCAAATCTGTGGAAGTGATGCAAAAGTGGTCTACATACCTTTTAACAGAAAGACTGGTCAACCCATAAAAATGGAGCCACACCAAGAAATCAAAAGTGATCTCGTGGGTAGACACAGAATGTGTTCACACATCCCTAGATAATTCACTGCAGTAGCTTGTTTTGGTTTTACATGCACAGCAGCTTTATTCTGGGTAGGGTTTGAGTATTTTATTTTTAATTTTTGTTATTAAATAATTTTTTTTTCATCACAATCTGGGAATGGTAGTATTTTAGATTCTTGTGGTTAATCATAGATAATTTGTCAATACACTGGTGACTAGTGCATGCTCAAACTTACGCATGGTTCTGTCACAATTTTAATACATTGTATCAAGCTTGCTGGAAGTATACAAGATATGCCAATACTTTGTGATCCTACAAAAATTCAACAAAGAACAACTAAAACAGAGATATTTAGCTTTCTTTAATGTTTCAGAATACCCAACAAAACCTTGATCATAATCCATCCATGAATCAGCTAACCCAAAAAACACTAAGCCAAGAAGAAAATGACCAAGATGAGATCTCAGACAGTTTTACCTCAAGTCATACTGAATTCAAAGAAATTCAGTCAAGACAAAAGTTTAATCGTCAGAATGAACCCAGAAACTCTAAAGATAACAGAAAAACTGAATCAAGGAATGCTTCTTTAAAATCATCCAATTCTGGAAATCATCCAAATCAAAGAGCTAAGGAGAGCAGTACGGGGAAAGTAGTCATGAAGAGCATTGGGGTGATGGCTGATATTCCATCTTTCCAAGGTTTGTCCATGATGCATGAGTATATCTAGAGAGCTTGCAGAAAAGAGAATAATTTTTATAATCATGATGCATTTATTTCTCCATTTGTAGGCACCAGTACAGAGTCAGAATCTTGTGAAGAAATGGAAATGGCTGATAATTCACTTTCTGATGTCAACTCATTTTCAGAGGACTGTAAGTAATCATTTTTGTATGGTAATTCATAGACTGTTGAGCTTTATTATTATTACAGAATCATAAACTGGTGAATTACTATCTCTCAACAGTTCTGTAAATTTTTAATTCGATATTTCAAACACAGATATCTCGAATTTCATGGATATTTCGAAGTCAGTTGGAAGTCCCAACTACTTTTTCTTTGTGTATTTTAACTTCAGTATCTCAAATGCTTGGATATCTTGAAGTTTTTTCTTGGTCCCATCCAGTTTGAGGTTTGACTGTATGCATATATTACCTGAAACTTTTAAACAACATTAAATTTTGTAGATCCCATGGAAAAACAGGATTCTTTTGAGAAAGAGGTAGATGAAAATGGTATTATATGGGGCCTAGATGAACAATCCCACAATTCACTGATGGAATCCAGAAGATTTAGTCCATATGGGAGTGAAATGAAGAGTTCCTCAAGTCAAGGGGGAGCACTCTTGGATGAGTCTGATTCACTAGATGACATTCCTGTGAGAGATCAAACCACTATGAATTGGGATTACCACTCGGAAGATAATGAGAAGGCAGAATTGAGCAGTGCCTCTTTCCATACATACCCAACAGTCAGAAAGCAAGTAAACTTTCAGACAATTTCCGGGCACAGTGATCCTACACATTATGGTGGTTACAAAAGATCCAATAAGCACAGGTTTAATTCTAAGAATATAGGTTATGATATTCTTGCTAATGATACAGATGAAGATGATTACTATGAAGACATTCAAAGATGGAAAGACTTGACAGCTGACGTAAACACAGATCTTCAGAGAGAAATGACAGAGACTTCTCCTAAGCTTCCAAGTTTTTCCAGAATGGGAAGACCTGAAAATCCAAGATGGCATTCAAGGCAATCATCCGTCAGATCACCAGTGTCTACCAGATCAGACACATTTCTCAGTCGACAGAAGTATTCAAGGCAAAAAGAGAGTCATCCAGTATATTCATCACATTCTGTTCTTCCATTTGGGGAACCACCACAGAGAACAATGTCTTCCCCGGGACTGTATAAGAGGTACATAATAAATGAAGACATTCCACATTTTCACAGAAATTTCCATTCACCCATTTCTTTATCTTGGGGACCATCCTTCAAGAGAGAAAGATTCACTAGAAATGTTGGAAATAGGCTTAGTTCCAGTTTATCTAACTTAAACCAAAAACCATCTACAGAGCTTTATCCCAAAACTTCCATCTGCAAGGACTCTACTACACAGACATGGTTACTTGATCGACAGCTTACAGAAAAAGATCTTCATTTTATGAAGGAAATTTCCAGCTCTGTATCCTCTTCTGATAAAACTTTTGCCAGAAATTCACACCTTGGAAGTCCGACACAAACCTCTAACCAGAAATCAGAGTCTGTTCCTTCTTATTCAACTATGGAACAAACCAATAAAAGATCTACTCTGTTTGATGGGAACTCCTCTTCATCATTATCCGTAAAAGTGGACAATCATAGTGAGCAACAGGAACAGAATAGTGGCAGATCTGGCACAAGCAATGATAACAAACTTCAAGGGGCTTACAATACTTCATCTGCTAACATGTCCAAAGACAGGCGAACTCCAAACACTGACAACCCTTTACAAACCCCTTCAGAATCTATATCCAGCAAGTCACACTCTAGTATTGATGCTTTAGACCAACAGCTTCCTGAGAGAACAAAACTTGGTTCAGATGAGACTGAAAGTAAAATACAAATCAAAGATGATGCTGATCCAAATGACAGTCAAAAAACATACAACTCCAACATCATTGGAGAAAGACCATGTCCACAGTCCTCTGAAAATTCAAGAACAGCAGACAGTAATGATAGTAGAGGTAAAATGGCAGATGAGAGGACAAAACTGCTAGATAATAGTAATTTGACAGAAGATGAATTCAGAAATCAATCTTTGAACAGTACACAAACTTCAGATAGTGATGCACATGATTCAAAACATCTTGCCAAGAAATCCAGTAACTGTGAACAAAGAAGGATGTCATATTCAGATCATGGTACAAATGATAAAGGTGATGACAGCCAGGGTTATCCTCAGTCATCCTTTTCCATGAGTGATTCAAAGTCTGCAACTAATCCACCTAGTTATCAAGGGAAATCTTATGGTGAAGAAAATTTGTCAAGAAAGAGTAGTCCTCAGTCAAAAAGTGCTACACCAGAAATCAAATATATCAAATCCACAGACAATAATTCTCCGAGTTCAGAGAATAAACAAAGGTCATCAAATAACACAGAAACATTTTGTGACCCTGATGCCATCAGTTTTTCACATGAAAGCAAACTTTCTGGTGACCTGACAGAAGATGCAGACGACACCTCGGTGTTGACAGACCTCAGCATTGATTCCCATGTTGCTGACATAAGCAACCAGAGCTCTAACTTCAGCACTTTCTTCAAGAACAGCTCATCTGAAAAACAGAAGGAAGAAAGGGTAAATGATCCTGATAAAGACTTGGATTGCCATGAGGAACCATTGAGATATTTGCACTCTAACAATGCAGCTAGTGAGGGGACTTCAGACAAAGTACTTGAAGCAGAACACAAGATGGCATCCCCAACATCAGACTTTGAACCTTTCTCCATGGCTTTTGAAACCAAACCTACTGTTTTCTCTGAGCCCCAGGAAACAGAAGATGAGGATGATTTATCTACTCTGGATAGCTGTAGTGTTACCATCAGCAGCTCTGAAGGTAAAAGTGAAAAACAAAGTGAATCCCAATTTATGTACATATTATACATTAACACCCAGTATGATACTGTGTTTAGAAAATGTGAGGCAATACTTCATTGTTGTACCTTTAATGATTTTATGGAACTTAATCTGTTTTTGCCATGAATCACTTGTAAAAAGAATTCTTAGGATAAAATTCCATATCTTTTATAAACACTAACATATTTATGTATAATTTTATAAATTTTACATAGGAGGCAGAGTGTTGACAAACCATAGGGAGGAAACCAGAAAGAGAAGAAGGGCCCTTCACAACATTTTTCAATTCCTGGACATAGAGTCACTTCTGATGGTGGCCCAGGTCTGTCGAGAATGGAAGAAGGTCAGTCGGAATAGGTCACTATGGAAACAAGTGGTTCTGGAAAATAGGAAGTGTTCATCCAAGGTACTAAAAATTCAGTCATCTTCCATATCTTGAACACAGGAGAACTGTCAAAAAACTTGTAGATAAACTTGAGTTTATAATTGACTCATAAAATTAATTATCTATTTTTTGTTATCTTTTATTCAGTTTCTAATCAGTTTATCAAGCTGGTGTACCTCCATGGAACAACTGACTTTGAGGAGTGAGTTTACTCTATGTAACTTTATCTGATATTTAAAATCCAGGAATTCTGGATGTCATTACTTTCAGTATTGTTCAATTCTTCCTACACCTTTGACAGATCTTTCTCCAAGAAACCAATGGCAAACAGAAGCAGATGATGTTTACCAGAGTACCATCAGGTAAAGACATGTAAAATTCTCTATTACGACCTTTGATAAATATATACATGAACTTTCTCCTAAAAAGGTGAAACAGTACTATGATGTGAATGATCAATTAAAAATGTCTATAATCTTGTTTTGTGATAAGAGGGAGTTTAGAGCCAGGGTTGGAGAGACTTCTACAGGTGTCCGAGTCCTCTCTCAAGTCCATCTCAATCATTAGCTGTGGTGCTCTACTGACAGACAAGTAAGACAAATTTTCACTCATTCAGACAGAAACTAAGATACTGTGAAATCACATAATTTCGTAGGGTCAAATTTTCATGGGTTTAAGGAAAAAATAATGGTTCATGGTGAAGTGTTTAAGCTACTTTTATACTTTACTTGTAATATTTCGTGGAGGACATGTATTCATGGGTCCCTTCATATGATGAAAATGTGAGTGCCCGAAATCCCATACAAAAAATAAGCAATTTTACATTGTGTATCTGTAAAATCATATATACTCGTAGATGAGTAATAAGCTTTGTAGTAAATTGATCTTGGGATGCAATAACCTTATGGCCTTCCAAGTTATAAATTGCAAAATTAAAGAACATTTTTTACCCTTGTTTCAACTTACGCCCCCCTCTCAAAGCTAGTTTAATAAAGGGCAAATGAACTGATATGATTTTAGATAAATCTGAAATATTCTTCATGTGTGAGAGAAAATCACAAAGTAACAAAATTTTAAACTTAAAGATTTAGTACAGTTGAACTTCAATAGTTCAAATACATGTACATGTACATGTTAAATTTGTCAGATCAACATGGATGCTTTTTGTGTATCTACAGTCTTATCAACAGGATAAGTTCAAATTTCAATTTTGTTAACTTGAACTTAACTCAAAAGGTTTTCCTCCTCAGTCCCACCAATTTTATGATACTGAGGTTTCACTGTATATCTACAATATTTTTTTTTACAATAACAAAATACGATATAGCTTTAAAGTAAGTTCCAGTAAATCTACTGCTTCTCTTCCTGTTAGTTAGGGCATTCGCTTCGTGATCGGGAGGCCCAGGTTCGATTCTCCTTCGCCGCGCCGCGTCAAACCTAAGACGTTAACATAGGTAGTGACTGTTCCTTCGCCAAGCCCATGGCATTAGAAGTGAAAGTCACGAGTCTTTCAGATATGACCTTAAAAACATAAGTCCCGTTAGGTCCCGTGTCACGGTAGGCGTTGGCACGATAAAGAACCCTCACTGCTCAATGGCCCTGAGTGACGAGTATAGGTCTAAATTGGAAGCCCTTCACCAGCATACGGTGACATCTCTATTTGAGTGAAAAATTCTCAAATGGGATGTTAAACAATATTCAATCAATCAATCAATCCTGTTAGTTATCTTCATGCTCTTACAGGAGTATTTGGTTGGTCAGCTGTTACAGTCGAATGCTTAGGAGTGTGGAGTACTTGTCAGATTCATTTCCTCTAGGACCTGATGTTATGTACGCCTTGGGTGCTGGATGTCGAGATATCACAACACTCATGATTTCACCTATTTTTCCATGGTATCATGTAGTAATTTAACAAATTTTTAGACTGATTTCTGGTGCAATGGATAATTCTGCATGAAAATTTAACCTTATTTTTTTTTAAAGTGAAAATGAAGAAAAATTTTCCAACAAATGCCTGCAGATTGTATCCCAGTTTTGCTGTGACCTTGAAATTTTAAGCATTGGTGGATCCAAAATAGACATCAATGGACTTGTACTTATTGGTAAACTGTCTATCAATTATCCTTTTCCATTTTGCTTAATTACTCATGCATGTATCAAGATTTTGTTCAACATGTAAAAAATTGACCTAACATACATGTATATCTGATGATGGATAGAAAATTAAGTTGTAAAAAGTCTCTACCATCATCAAAGAAGTAAATGCATAACTAGAAATCCATACAAATTCTGCTTACCATATATACTCGCCTATAAGTCGGTTTTTTGGGAGTTAAATTTTGGTCCAAAACTCTAGGTCCGACTTATAGGCAAGTCATAAAAAGATTAGTATTATCTGGACGTCGAAATGTAGTATGGATATATCATATCATTTATGCATTCTAAGATTATACATAAAGTACAAGTATTTACATATTTTAATAACTTTATTTTTATTTAAAGTGTGCATTATGTATTTTTCTTAATGATTTAAAATGAAATATCGGTGTCATTTCTAAGAATATTAACCGAAACCAGGTTAAAACATCAGAGCATTGGTTTGAAATTGTCAACTGATTCTAACAAAAAGTTGTACCGACTTATAAGCGGGTCAATGGCAAATCCCCCTAAAATAACCTCAAAAAATACAACCGACTTATAGGCGGACCGACTTATAGGCGAGTATATACGGTACATAAAAGTCTAATTTCACTGTTTACATTTAGCCAAGGCATGTCAGAGACTTCATCAACTGGACCTCCATCACTGCCAGGAAATGACATCAGATACTGCTGTTGCCATCTGTCGTCTGGGACTGAAGCAACTTCTGTCTCTGTCATTTGTACACACACCTATCACTGCTGACGCTCTCAAGCATTTCTACAGTAAGTCATTACACAGATTCGAATTATATACTGCTGAAAGAGACATATTCTGATCATAAGTAATTCATGGATAAGATTCTTCAAAAATTAAATTGCTGAAAAATGTTGCCCCATGAATTGTGCACAATAAGCTCTACAAGCAATATAAGAACCATCAAGTCAAACGATACAACTTTTCACTTTAAAACCATATGTGCCAAGACTCATTTGCAATCGCAAATTGATATTATTAATGTAATTGTATCATGATTTGTAATTTATTTGATACTTTGCATGAATAAACATAATAATAAAAGCCATGGAATTTTGAAACCCAATCAAAAAATTCTCATGGAATTTTTAAACCCATCAAAAATTTCTCTTTCAATTGGTACAGGCCTGTCTCTTTCCTCTCCTCTAAAATTGGCATTTCAATTTTTCATTCCCTATTGACAAGCAGAAGCAAGAATATCCACTGCAGATAAAATTTAATTTTAAATTCCAAGAACTGAGAGATCAGCACTAACTCAAATAATTTTGATATTTTGACAGATTCCTGCAAGCACTTAAAGAGCCTCCATGTGGCTTTGTCAATAATGGATTTTCACAAGGACAAATCTGAGAAGGAGGAGGTCAGGTTAAAGAAATGGCAGAAATTTGTCAAAGATATGAAGGTAACCAAATGTTTTAGAAAAAAAAAAACTATTTATCAAAGACGAATTATTTCATAAATTTTGTGTATCAAATTTGGCATTGATGCTTGTTAATTTTGCTTTCCTTTCAGAGCCTTGAGAACATTCCAGGACTTGGAAACATACTGAAGCTTAATCTACAACACACATGTAATATTGAATAGGACATGGAGAGACTGATATTCTTAAAACATTTTTATAATATTGATATCGGGCAGGGAAAATAAGAAAAATTTCATTTATACTTCTCCATTGGAAGTTTTTGTACCAACCTAGTACATTAAATGATTCTTTATGAAAGGATGAAATACCAGACTTTGGGCTTTTTTAACCTATCAAAATGTTCATATAAAGTTGTTTTTTCCAGAGTTTTTTTTACAATGAATGTACAAAATGAATTGGAATTAAGATCAAGTTACTGGTAATACTTTTTATGCCCAAGTTGATGAAATATTACATGTATACTCTCTTTACATAAGCAAAAGGGGAAAAAAAAAAACACACACAAGCACACTTCCATTGCTATTTTATTTACATACAGAGAAGAAAATAAAATTTGTTGTACATACCAGTAGTTTCATTATTATATACATGTACATCAATCAATGATTCATGATTACGGAGACTAGTACTCTAAATTACATAATAGGTGAAAAAAGATTAATAAATGTGCATAAACCTAAAACCTAAATAATATATGCAAGGGGGCCAGGGTATTATATTTTTCACTAAATACTCATAGAGAGACATTCCGCATATATAGAATTGATATCACATTCTTAAAACTGTAAACCTGAGATAAACATCAGCAATGCAAGAATATACCCCACACAAAATCTCGACATTTTTTAGTATTGGAATTGTGCCATTTACAACACATGCACACACAAAAAAATAAATTCCATATGCTTAATAAGGGGTGTGATAATACATACTTGTACATTGTATTTCATTAAAATTCAGAAGACATGAAATGTATATATTACTAAACTATGTATTTCATTAAAATTCAGAATACAAGAAATGTTCTATCACTAAAGCATTATTTTACACCAATACCAGTTTCGTTACTAACAAGAAACACAATTAGTTAATTCTTATACACATAAAAATGCCCACTGATAATACTTAAAAGGGTTTTTATCATCTTTCAAAATTTTTTGATATATAAAAAAGTTTACATGCTATTAAAATCATCCATTTTATGTATTTGAACATAATCTTGTTGTATGCTCAATATCGCTTATCCTGCATATATACACTGAGTTAAAATGAAATCAGTACTTAATAATCAATAAGAATCATCAGATATAATCTGTCATGCATGCTAAACTACGGATCACTGCAACATGATATACGATTAAAAAACAAGAAATGTTAGGAAAAGTATCCATGTTCTACAATTAAAACAGGAATTGATAGATTAAAATGAAGAAAGACTTGGTACGGTATTGACAGTCCTCTACTCTTTATAGTTTTGATCTGGCTCTTCTGATGTCTATGAATGGTTTAGGGAGGGGATACAACCCAAGGTGTCTCTTGAAATCTGAAATATCATCCACAATAGTGGGCTGCAAGAGAAAGACATAAATAAATCAAACTTAAAAACAGGTGTGTGTGAATAATAAATGAAAAAAAAGTGCTAATTTTTAAGTGTGAACATGAACATTTCACATAAAAAATCTTAAAATATGATAATTATGATATTTTTTAATATTTACATTTCCAATATCTTTGTCCGAGATAAAATTACAAATTGTAAAAATACTTTATTTCTACATAAATCTACTGGTTCATCGATAGGCGCGGTTAAAAAAAAATCATGTGCGGGGCGGGACAAATAAAGAAGCGGGGCTATTAGCACAGGAATTTGCAGAATCAGGAGCATGTAAATATAAGGAATAACTGTCAGATTTTTTGGATTCATGACGACAATCAATCGATTGGCTTGCGTGATAATTTTATGCATAAACACCAAAGGTGTTTATGCAAATTATCACGCAAGCCACTCGATTGATCACATCATGAATCCAAAAAATTAGACAGTTATTCCTTAATTAAACACAAAGATGTAAACTTGATTTGTTAGCTATGAAATCTTCCCTGCAAACCAAGAAAACTCATCAATTTAATTTCAGGCAACTTCCAAATACTGTCAGAATCAAAATTTTTACAGTATATAGTGTTTATTACCATCAACAATTGCTTTGTGCTAATACAAAAAAAAAATCCTTTTCCTCTGGCCATCTTTGTATTTCCTTTTTTCTTAATCCTATTTAATACGTAAGTACATTTCCCTACAGTGTTTTACAAAATTACAACGGTTTCTATTGATTAATATGAAATAATTTTCATATTACCTTGGGTAGATTTGGGGGTACAGGCAAAAGGTCAATTCCATTGTCATTAGTATTTGGTTCATCTGTACCGAGTCCTTCATTGGCTGGTAAAATGTGAATGCTGAGCTTGTGTCTGTGTGGAGCATCTACAGCTATGAAATCCTACAACACAGGCATACAATTACTTTGACAGAAAGAAATGTAACACATTCATACAAATACATTGCAGCTGGAATGTTTTGTGCTACTTTTTTGAATTTCAGTTGGGTCGTATTAAATAGTGTAAATGATGAAGTGATTTCACTTTAATATGTGTGTGTTAAGTAAATATTTCTTCAAGATTGCCAGTAAATGTGAAGTTTAATTAAAAAACAAACAACAAAAGTTCAACATCTGCCCAAACTTTTCCACAACAACAAAAAAGATTTTTTTTTTAGTTGTTTGAAATGTTCTCTGTACAGTACCTTGAAAAACTTCATGAGGCTGTCTTTCTTGATTGTCTTCAGACATGCAACCTCAATGTCATCTGCAACAGAAAATAAACAAGTACACAACTGAAAAAAATAGAATACAACAGAAAAAAGAAAAGACTACTATACAGCTGAAAACAAATATAAAGTATACTACTTAAAACAAATCAATATAGTACAAAGCTGAAAACAAACAGGATACAATTAACTGAAAAGTGAAATAACAGAATCAATGAAAAGCGAGAGCTGGTAGAGCAAAGCATGCTGATAGGCAGTCACTGAATTTGTGACACTTTGATTTAGTTCCTTATAGCCAAGGTTTCTTACTATACATTTATTTAACATTATGTAGCTTTGAAGATTTTTTTAAAGAAATTTTTAGGAATATTTTAGAGTTCATATATACATGTATTTAAATGAATAAATTAATGTACACTCTCCATTTCTAATGCATTTGATATACTCTATACCACAAACAATAAAATTTAGCTATTAGAAATATATGTATGTACACGTGTATTATGATATAAAATTTTTGAAAAATCATATTTTACATGTTGCAATAAATACAAATTTTGGCAACGAGATTAACAATAATTACAGAGAAAATTTTCAGTTCATTTGTGATCATATCAAAGAATTCCTTATGCCCCATTTCTGTTTTTTTTTTTCACTATAATTTCTTCAAAGATTAACTATACAGGGTAATGGCAAAGGAAATTCAAATTATTCCTTATAAACAGGATTTCTTTTTAACTGAGGTCCTTATAAGCAAGTTCAACTGTATTAAAACAAAGTCTTCTCATTGCTGACAGAGTCCACTCAACAAGAATTTATGTTGCTCAATGTTTTTATCTTTTTCTGGGAAAGGTAAATTTTATGGAATTTCAAGATGAAACACCCATAAGGCAAACAATGTCCTCCTGTTTCACTTAATAGTAAGATTCATCCAGAACACTCCCATTTAAAATGTATTCATAAAAACACACGGCTAGCGTGCAGTAGAGTTGAAGATCTATTTACATTGTAATATTTTATTGACAAGTAAGGAGTAAGCATAAACAGATATTTTCAGAAGCCCTAGCTGTGCTGAGTATCAAAATTGTCCAGAAGGTGTTATTAACTGTGTTGATTAGAAGACACCTATGCACCTTACTTTCGGGTAAAAAAAAATTACTCCTATACTATACATGTACTCCTGTAGAACCTCTCACACTACTACATTCAGTTTATCTAGTAAGTGTAAATATACAATCCAAACTGCTTCACCTATGGATGCTTTGTGGTATGTTAAGTCCAATTTGGCCCTGGTTCTCAGTTGAAAATATGTGAAGTTTACAGACAGACAGACAAATAGACAAGACAAACAATACTGGTGATCACAAATGCTCTTTTGAACGTATAACTTAGGTAAGCTAAAAATCAAAATATCCCCCAAATGTCAAATATAAAATCAAGGAAATATGTGAAATCTATACCTCTGTCAAAGTTCTGATTTATATGAAATCTATACCTCTGTCAAAGTTGTAAGTGTTGGACAGTATCTCAGACCAGTATTTAGAGTTCTGTCCATTGATCTTCTTTGGTTTGTCCATTCTCTTAGTGACTAGGGCATTGACGTGTTTGTCATATTCCTCCTGACTCATTTCCTGGATGACAGACTATTAAAAAAATAAAGTTTCCTAAAGATATTTTGAAAGAGAATTGTCCTAGTAAACAATGATGAAAAGAAATATTAACCTCCTCGATGCTGGTTGTATTCATATTTTAGTGGGTCAATTTTTAGCTATTTTTGCTAAATTTTAAATACGTAAATAAGCAAGCATATATATATTCCTCAACAATAAAAACTCCCTATGGCGACTCTAAATTTATAAATTCCATGAGAGGTTTAAAGGAAAGTAAATAGAAAAACTTACATCCATGTGGTGTAGAAAAGCTTCCACTCGGTCATCCACATACTGCGGTGGTCTGTCTGACTGAATTATAACTCGTAGACCTTGGACTCCACGAGCTCTTCGTACACCACTGAACACAATGTAACCTGAAAAATACAAAAAAGATCATTATTATCTTAAAGACAGTGTAATCCATTGTACAAAATTCAATACAGAGTGAAACATTTATTTACAGTTTAGGTCAACCAACACTTCAACAAGGGATTAGATGTGTTAGTGGTATAATTAAAAAAAACATTCTTTTCTAACAAGGAAGTTAAATTTGCAGGTTTGACCATGCTCTGTGCTGCAATAAATCTTCAACAGTGTTCTTTCTGGTCATTTCTATAAGCTGTCACTTATGTATACTCGAGCAGAAGTAATGCTTTGGTGGGAATTTACTACCTCTTTGCCTTTTCAATCTGCCTTAGGTTTTAAACTTAAGAAGGCTGCCTCCAAGTACCCAGTATAATGGAAGGACAGATGGACACCCCCATCACTATATACTCCCACTATTGAAGCGGCGGTATAAATATCAGAAATTTTGTTAAATATTGCAGCTTGAATGTTTTTTTCTTTACTAAATATGGCTAGAAAAATCATATTTTACATTTCTAGATGAATCTCTTGGGTACTTTGTTGATCACACATCCTCCTTAACAATTATCAGAAATGCTATACCTGGTAAATCTGTTCAGGAGTAAAAGGAGTGTACAAAAATACAGTTTTTGTTTCTGATGATGCATATGCAAAGTTATCACTATAATATGTAACACTCTTTTAACAATTTCTACAGTTTTCAATTTACATTTTCTTGCCCAAAATTTGAAAATTTTCATTGTACTGATTGCATGAAAATAAATTTCGATTTTGATAAAGATCCAATCTGTGACTGTAACTGAAAGAGAAAGCATTTCTGGTTTTCATTTATTTATTTCGTGATTCTTTAGTTATGGAATTTTACAGCCATTGTAGCTAATCACTCCTACCTAACTGTTCCTTTGTTCTGAGGATGTTGAAGCAGGGTTCCCCCACAATCTGTACCAGTAACTCCAGTAACATATTGGGGAGGGTGTCCTGCATGCCACACTGATAATAAATGGCTATTGAGCTGCTCTTGTGCACTTTGTTGTCTGTCTGGTACAAGTAATAACAGCCTACAAAGAGACATGTACATGTATAATGTAAATAATAACAAATCATTCATTTACTGTATTTCACTACAAAAGAAAAATTATCCCAAACTGTCAAGTTAATCTACATGCAGAAGATTAAATCAGAATTCTCAATTCCTTTGTTCTCTTATTCAACTGTTTTTTTTTTTAATTTCATTTAAATATCTCACACCATCATCCATGTTCAAGCTTTGACACAGAATACTGACCATCTGGAATCTGCACCTCTCTGTATCGCTTGTATTGACTTGGTAACAGCTCCCTGGTTCCACACTTTTCTGAGAGAATATTCTCTGTCATATCTATGATGTCTTTGGCTTGCTACAATCAAATTTTACTAATACGTTTCAAATACCCAACATCATAAATGTAACAATTTCATGTATTAAAATATTGTAACATCTACAGTTGTCAATATTTTTAACATCCATAAAAAAAATTCAAGAAAAAAGTAAAATATTGCAAATAATTTAGATATAAACTGACTTAATTATGACTCATTAAGAGAATAATTTAAAAGATCTCAATATGCCTTTGAAGGATTAAATATGTAATCAAAATAGTAAAAATTAGATTTACTTATTGTACATTGTGTGATACTGTATACAGGGTTATATTCATCCTGTGTTATTTTCACCCTTTCACAATTGCAAAGGATTGTGTCCCATTTTAAATTTACCTAAAGTTGTGTTAAGAATTTAACTATCTTCTTTAAATTTGCCCCCATTTTACATTTGCTCATTTGCAACCAGGGCAAAAGGGGCAAATACAAAATAGGAGTGAAAATTTCCCTGTGAACAGTATTCATTATTTCATCAACCACACTAAATATATCATCATCATCTTCCTATACATTGTAATACATATACTATACTTTTAGAGGTCTCTCTGCTTGACTGACCTGCTTTGTCACATTGCCATAGATTAAGCCTTCAATGAATAACTGGGACAACAGCTCAGGTATGAAAGCCTGCAATTTTTCTACTGTGACATCTGCAAAATTGTTATTATTTTAAATTTGTAGAAAAATAATTTCAAGATTTAAGAAAGAAAAAAAGTACAATACGGTTGAAAGAAAAATGAAAATATGATTACAGTGTGTGCTCTTTTTGATTTCATTACACCATTATATATTTTCACATTAATGGAAAATGTCACATAAATTAAAGTAGAGAGGAATGTTAATATATTCTGTAAAGAAATTGGAGTTTTAAAAAATTCTGAAAGTACGATGATATTGTCTTATTAAAAGTAAACCAAAAAAAAAAACTCTCAAATGGGCAAATCTTAATTTGAAATCACCAAGATACATGAAGATACAAAACAGTACTTTAAAATGCACTTCCAAGATAAATACAGTACATGTGTACAGTACTTTTGAGGCAATCTCTTGTGACCTAATTTTACCTTCGGCAGACTGCAGTAGCTCAGCCTTGGTCCACTGAACCTCAGCCATCAGATTATTGGTGTAGTAGACAGAGTGTTGATATGGTTCCTCAGCAAAGAAATTACGAAGCCCTCTTATATACTGGGGAAAAGATACAAGTGTGCAGAGTTAAGGTCACATGTTCTCCAAATACTTGTTCAAGGTCATCTACATCTTTCTTAAGGAAACTGAATATAACTTTAACCTTAAATGCAAATGTGCACTATGTGAACTGTAACCTTAAATGCAAATGTGCACTATGTGTACTTTAACCTTAAATGCAAATGAACACTATGTGAACTTTAACCTTAGCTGTGTGCACATACTGCCTATCATAATGACTCAGATATCTGGGATTTCATCAATTTCTAAGGTAACTAGAAATCTGACCAGTCAGCAAGGGCCCCGCCAAGGGGTAGAAATATAAGGGTGCAGATTAGGGGATGAGAATTATACTTGATTACAAAAATTTAAAAATATATAAAGAAGAATAAGTAACAGCATTTGCTAAATATCCAACAACCTGTAAATAGTTTCCTTCTATTTACATAACGCAGTAAAAAACATCATATCTATAATAACGAAATTAAATGTATATTTAAAGAAGAATGAAGCATGTGTTTTCTAAAATGCAAGCCTTCAGTGAATGCAAATATCACCAAGGCTTGACCTTAACTTCAAAACAAACATCAGTTGCAGATAAAGGTGTTAATCAAACTTAAAGTGACAGAAAGATAACCACTAAAATTGTCTGCAAGCAGCAAGATAATCAAACCCAGGGGATTAATTATACTGCTCTCTCAACCTTTTCTTTTAAAGTTTACAATAAGAACTTTTTCAGCAATGATAGAATGAGGTTATTATCTGAATACCTGTTAAAATAAATAGTATGCTTGAATTTACAATAGGCAGAAAAAAAAAATAATAAAAAAGATATCTTTATCTATATCTTGTTTTTAGAATTCAATAAAATCATAACTCATTGTGTATTTTACCAAAATACAAAATAAAGTATGAACATTATTTAAATCCACATTTCAGAGAATGTAAACATCATTCAGAATCGACCTTAACTTCAAAACAAACTTCATTTGCAGACAGAGGTGTTAATTAATCTCAATGTGGGAGATAAAGATAAATGCTTTAGATTTTCTTCAAGAGGAAAGTTAATTAATCCCAAGAGATTCATTGCAGCCTTTCCTAGTTTACAATAGGAACATTCTCAGCAGTTATCTCTCTTTGCCCATTCACTCTTATATAAAGTTAAGGAATCTACCCCACCACCCCAGCTCCAAACCGGATGACATAGAGAACAAAACTTAGCATCAAAATATGTCTTACTGCCTATTCAACCAACATACCAAATTTGAAGTTAATTGGTCAACCCTAAAAACAGTTATTAGAAAAAAACAGAAAATTTGTGGACGGAAGAATGACAGACGGACAGACAGACAGACAGAGTGATTACTATAGGGCACCCGCATATCCTTGCGGGGCCCTAATAATTATTTCTTTCAACTACTTGTACAACTTTACCATTTCTTTATGAATTTCAAATCTCTTTGGATCCACTTTGAAGTCAGTGAGTTTCTCCAAGATTTTCCTCAGAAGAATGGGCTGTTTTTCATGGTAACCTTTAACTTGAAGCTGAAATGGAATACAATATTGTTTATTTGTTTGTGACGTTTTCTGAAGCCATGTTAACACCAGTGTTAAACTGTTTTCTTTTTTTTAAGTCATACTTTATATTTCATGTTAATAGACACTATCATGTTTCATTTTCTGCACACCATTTCTTGTATGTTACACTAAAACATAAAAACTGATTTTCCTCATGCTGCAGATTGCATTTGGAAATTTTGCAATTTGTTTGTAACTCAATAACCGAATTACTCAAATTCGTTTAATAATAATAATTACACTCAAATATTACCACCACATCTTGCAATTCTCATTACCCCTCCTCAAATTGTACTTACTTGTAACTTAATTCTTTCAAATGTTAAATATCTGTGTCTTAATTCTCAAGATCATGCCCAGGATCATGTTCAAAGTCTGAATTCTTAGCATCTCACCCAAGACAGTACAAATAAGTCTTCCACTTACATGTAATTCTTATTACCATGCCCCGACTTCACTCATAAATCTGTTACTTTATTTCTTACCATATCCCATATTAAGCTAATGAGTCTTATCCTAAATCTTTATCTCCATGCCCTGAACATAAATTATAAACATGTTACTTAACTCTTAGCCTCATGTCCAATATTGTACTCATAATTTGTTTCTTAACTCTTACCATCATGCCCAAACTCATCTTACAAGCCTGTGACTTATATATTACACAATGGTAGATTCTATTTATAAGTCCTACCACCACGTCCCTGTGCTTATAGGTCTTACCACCAAGTCTAGATATAACTTATAAGTCAGTAATTAATTACCAACATGCCCCAGACTGTACTCGTAAGTTTGCCTCTTAACACTTACCACCATGCCCCAGATTGTACTCATTAGGTCGTAACTTAATCCTGCGAGTTCAGCATCATAGGCGTACTCATTGAGGGCATCCTTGAAGAGCTCCGTGAACAATGTTGACATGTTTGCGTGTAGTGGATCAATGTATGCAATAGGACTGAAATACACAATAAATAACTTTGGAAAATACCTATTTCTAGTTCAAAAGCTGAAAATGAGGAAAATGGTGTTTGAAAATTTACAAACTAGGAAAAGAACAACATAAGCACTATTAGATACAGTACTATTTATGTAATATTGAAAGGGAAAGAGCAATTAAAAAAAAACAAAAACCAAAAAACAAGTATGATGTATACACAAAAAATAGTTTTTTCTTGATCTTTTTAATGTTTGAAAAAATGCTTTTTCATCATTGTACTTTTACCTGAAGAAACAGAGGAGAAAAAAATTCAGGATTTTACCTTGATATGTCAAAGCTCATACAAGCTTTGGGCAGTAGGAATTTGTCGTCCTGTCTAAACCATAGCCTTGTCAGGCCAGTTTCTTTAACCATCTCTGGCAAATGAGAACACTGTAAGAAATTGATTAAATCTTTGAGGTATATTGGTAACACTTTTGACCTGAGCAGTCATCTGTCTACAGCACAGATGTTTGGTAATAATCCACTGATGAGTTAATCTGACATACCGGTCATTTTTTAACTTACATCTTTTTCTCTTGGTACAAGATCAAAATTTGTGGGGATGAACTCATTTCTAGGTGGCAAATGAAGATTTTCGCCTAATCCACAATTCTTCCATTTCTGTTGAATACAAAAGATATGGAAATATTTCGATTTTTATCTAAAATTTCTCACATCAGAACATTACATAAATTAAATGAAAAACAAAAATTATTGCTCTTCAGATAGGACTAACAATTCTGCAAAATCTGGACTGATGTTCTGACCCATCCCAAGTCAGAGCGAGGGACTTCACAAAATTATACCCTATCCCCTCCCTTTCCATTATATACATACATGTATTTTCTATTTGTGATCAAGATAATCAAAACATCAAGATATTTTGGCAAATTCAAGGTTATTTCTTTAAGAAGAGCATACCTTAATTTTCTCACCTGACATAAGACATACCTATATGTTCTTACCTGACAGAAGGCATACCTTAATTTTCTCAAATGACGGAAGGTATACCTTAATGTTCTCACCTGACAGAAGGCATACCATAATTTTCCGACCCAACAGAAGGCATACCTTAATTTTCTCGACTGACAGAACACATACATGTACTTTAATTTTCTCAACTGACAGAAGACATACCTTAATTTTATCACCTGACAAAAGGCGAACCTTAATTTTATCACCTGACAGAAAGCTTACCATAACTTTCTGACTCAAAAGAAGGCATACCTTAATTTTCTCACCTGACAGAACACATACATATGTACTTTAATTTTCACACCTGACAGAAGGCATGCCTTAATTTTCTCATCCGACATACGACATATCTGAATGTTCTCACCTGATAGAAGGCATACCTTAACTTTCTCACCTGACAGAAGGCATACCTGAATTTTCTCATCTGACTTAAGACATACCTGAATGTTCTCACCTGACAGAGGGCATACCTTAATTTTCTCACTTGACAGAAGGCATACCTTAATTTTTTCATCAGACAGAAGGCATACTTAATTTTCTCACCTGACATAAGACATACCTGAATTTTCTCATCTGACATAAGACATACCTGAATGTTCTCACCTGACAGAAGGCATACCTTAATTTTTTCACCTGACAAAAGGGATAACATTTTTTCTCACCTCACAGAAGGCATACCTGAATTTTCTCCTCAGGAATGTCCTCTACCTTATAGTCAGTGCCATACCACTTCTCCTTCTGGTCAACTACATCAGCAAACTTCTTAGCAACCACTCCAATCCTAAGAGAAAATGAAATCATATCATTGCAATTAAAATTCAATAAATTGTTTTTAAATAATTGTGGTGATTTGTTATCAGTCAAGTCAACTCAGAATACCAACCTCATGGTTTCGGGAACCAGTTTATCCAGCACCATGGTGATAAGGTCAGGTCTGTATTCGGTCAACAGATAAGAGCCACTCAGAACCTCAGGGAGGGGGTATTTCTGAAAAAAAAAATTACAAGAAGATTACTCAAACAAATGGAGATGTGCTCTCAAGGCCCTATGCCCCTGCTGGGCGGAGAGGACTAAGTAAGTAAGTACCAAGCTAAATTTCACGTCTTTGTTCAAACCTGACCTCATTTTTTATTCTTACCTGTGTTCTACGTGCTAAGAAGGATGTGTAATTGATGGGCATTTCTTTGTCCTTGAACTTGAAAATCATATCTGAGAGCTGTTGACACTCCTTGTACACCCATTCCTGTGGGCCTTCTTTCCTCAGCATTTCAATGTACTGGAACATCTTCAGCAGAATGTCATCCACATGCTCTAAATACAGAATATACATTTATGACAACCAAAAAAATTCTCAAACAATTAAGTACAGTAAAGCATCAGTATCTCAACATTGATATGTCAAATACCAGGGATGTGTCAAATACCAGAGATATGTTAATACCAGGTATACGTCAAATATCAAGGATATGTCAAATACCAGGGAAATTTCAAATGCCAGGGATATGTCAAATACCAGGGAAATGTCAAATGCCAGGGATATGTAAATACTAGGTAAAAGTCAAATACCAGGATATGTCTAATATCTGGGATATGTCAAATACCAAGTATATGTCTAATATCAGGGATATGCCAAATACCAATGTTATGTTATATACCTAGGATATGTCAAAAACCACAGATTTGTAAAATACTTGGTATATGTCAAATACCAATGTAGTGTCAAATACCAGGCCTAGGGATATGTCCAATATCAGGGATATGTCAAATACCAGGTATATGTCAAACAATAGGTATATGCCAAATATCACGAATATGTCAAATACCAGAGATTTGTAAAATACCAAGAATATGTCAAATACCAGAGATATGTAAAATACCAGGAGTATGTCAAATACCAGAGATATGTAAAATACCAGGAATATGTCAAATACCAGAGATATGTAAAATACCAGGAATATGTCAAATACTAATGATATGTCAGACACAAAGGGTTTGTCAAATATAAAAGATATGTCAAATACTAGGAATACATAAAATACCAGGGATATGTCAAATACCAAGGACATGTCAAAAATCAGGGATATGTCAAGTAGAATCAATACCAAGGCTATGTCAAAAACCAGGTATATAAAATACCTAGGATATGTTAAATACCAGGTTTATGCCAAATACCAGAGAAATGTCAAATACCAGGGACATGTCAAATACCAGGGGTATGTTGAAGTTAGTTAGACAGACTTGCATGCACCTTATTAAATCAAGTTTCAACTTTGATGTTTTGAACAGTAATATATACATGTACAATGTACATGTACATGTACAATGTACATGTACATAGATCTCCCTGTTTAATTAATATTCGACAGTTTGAAATATTGAGATTTAAACTCATTCATCTGCAAGATAATTTCCATCATCTGCATGTGTACTTCTGCCTCAAGTACAAGTATTCAATTTGGTTTAAAGAAAAAATGATAGTTTTTTTTTTTAATTTTAGATTGTAATGTCTTTCTCAGACAAGGCAGTTTTCCTCCATACATAACAAACTGTAGGCATGTGAAGTAATTGTGATACAGACCTAACCCTTCTTCAGACAAATCAAAATCAATCCTGAAGAACATAAAACCATTGGCTCCATCTGTCTGACCTCCACAGAGGGAATTCACCCAACCTATAAATAGTATCAGTATATTAGTTAAATCACAGAGGGAATTCACCCAACCTATAAATAGTATCTGTATGTTAGCTAAATCACAGAGGGAATACACCCAACCTATAAATAGTATCAGTATATTAGTTAAATCACAGAGGGAATTCACCCATCCTATAAATAGTATCAGTATATTAGTTAAATCACAGAGGGAATTCACCCAACCTATAAATAGTATCTGTATGTTAGCTAAATCACAGAGGGAATACACCCAACCTATAAATAGTATCTGTATATTACTTAAATCACAGAGGGAATTCACCCAACCTATAAATAGTATGTGTTAGTTAAAACAAATAAAAGTAAAGCTGCAGTTCTTTGGAAAAAAGAGTTTAATTAAAGAAATTGAACAGATAATAATAATAATAAATATTTAAATGAAATTGATGATGAACAATAAAATGAAAATATCACATTTTACTGACTATCAAACAGCTCAGTTTGATAAATCTGATTAATGTCTGACCTTTTTGTTTGAGCTCTGACAACAGACTTCCCTTTCCTTCATGCCCTATCAAATGGCCCAATATATGTCCCGGCTAGAAAAATTTTAATATCAAAATTGGTATCATCTTAATTTGATGTTTTAATTGGTTTTATTTGAAATAATCATATAATACTCATGAAAGACTTCAAAAACAACAAAGATTATTACTCAGAAGCTCAGATTGCTTTAACTCTTACATTTGAAGCATAGTAATCTGACAGATCAGGAATGGTCCATGAGACAGAGAGGTTCCTCAAATCCTTCACTGGCACAGCATAACAGATTTTCTACAAAATGACATGACCATTAATAATGCTTCATATTCCTTTTAACTTTCAAAGACATTTTTCTCTTCAAAATTGTTTTTAAAAATTTAAAATATATATATATATATATATATATATATATATATATATATATATATATATATATATATATATATATATATATATATATATATTTATTTATTTTTGTATTAATGAAGCAATGGTATATTTAAGCTTATCAACCTTGTAAAACGTCCTAAGGGAAAACTTTGACTTTGTGTATATACCGACCTTGACGTGCTCTGGACCATAGGGACCCTCCTTCCAGGAAGGAATTTCGACTGATTTATTAGCGACAGGGTCAAACAGAGGCAATACCATCTCTGATAATTCATCCAAAGATTCTGAAAAGAAAAATTTGTAACTATAATGTCTTATCTTAATTAAAACATAAGTAATCAGAGATTACAGAGCTCACCTCAATGAATGTTGTCTTTAAGTAAGGCTAAGTCCCACACAAAACTAATAATCTAGGAGTGTGCATCCCTAGATGCAACATTTATGCAATTTTGGTCTGATAGGGCTTGCAGTTACTTGGGAATTGACTTATCTGAAAACTTAAAACTAGTCACACATCCAGAAAATGTAATGTCAAATACAGGATCCAAAGCAAGTTTTGAGATTGTCCGTCCCTTGATGCATCATCCATGCAAGTTTGGTTCAGATAGGCCTTATAGTTACTTGGAAATGAGATCTGCTCCAAAAACATTAACCGGTTACTCATCCAGAAAATGTACGTCAGATCCAGCATCCGAAGCAAGTCCAGTAGTGTACATCCTTAGATGTATCATCCATGCAAGTTTGGTCAATATAGGGCTTATAGTTACTTGGAAATGAGATCTGCTCCAAAAACTTTAACCTGGTCACTCATCAGAAAAATTTAGGTCAGATCCAAAAGAAAAGAAAACTGCTCCAAAAACCTTAACCTGGGACGCCAACGCCGAGGGTATTACATAAGCTCCCCCAACTTCGTTGAGGTGAGCTAAAAATTATTTTCCTTTTACACAAAAGCTGGTAAATTTTTTCTGCAAAAAGAAAAAATTAATTCTTGTACAGTGCACATCTCTAAAAGACCTCAGTAAGAATAAAAACTCTGTTAAAATGTTGGATGTGTAAGCAAAACTTAAACATATTTCATAAACTTAACACATCAAAATGAAGTAAATGAACATTGCACACTGAATGCAAAAAATAATGATTACACACAGGCAAGTAAGTAAATGGAAAATTCAATGTCAATATGATGTTACAATCAATATGAAATGTTCCCAAATACTTCTGGAAAAGAAAATAATACATATACAGTCAAACCTTGTTATCTCGAACTCGATTGGACCAAGAAAAAACTTTGAGATATCCGACGGTTCAAGATATAGAGGGTATACTATTAGTTACATTGTTTTTTAGTGACAGGGTACGGGATGATACCTGGTTAGTAAATTTCATACCTGGCGAGGCGAAGCTGAGCCAGGTATGGAATTTACTAACCAGGTATCATCCCGTACCCTGTCACTACAAAACTATGTAACGAATTTACCCCACCGATAAAATATTTATGCATTGTCTGTGGTTTGTAAAATTGTTTTTCTCACAATATATCACTCATACAATGCCTATTATGACGTCACGTTGCGTGATGTAATGTTTTTTTGCGAGTGTTTCGTGCTGTAATAACGTACTGACAGTTTTGAAGACTTTCAGTAAAGAGAGAAAAAGGTTCCATCTTCGTTACTTACATTAGTTAACTGTAACATTGTCAACAGACACTCGGCAAATCGCGTGAACTCGAGTTGTTCGAACGTTACAAAAGAACGATAACTCCGTATCGACAATGTATTGATTTTCAAGCGACTAGGTATAAGTAATACACCCCCTTCACGTGACAGACTTCAACCAATCGTAAGCCAGGATTTCATCGAAAAATCAACAGAGGTGGGGTAATTGAGAAATTCATGGTTAGGACTTCTCAATTACTTCAACACTTCAATTGTATTTGAGATATATGTGTTCAAGATACCAATTTCAACTGTAAATCTTACTTGAAAATTGTATATATCACTGAAATCTCCTGAATAATTAGAACACCAGAATTCTATGTGTTCTAAATTTTAGTATTTCATGCTGTTGTACATAATGTTTAAATACCTTTTCCTAACACAGCCAGTGACATGATGTTGGAGGAATAATACTGTGAATGAAACTTCAGAAGCTCATCTCTGGTGTTCAGTCCCTTGGATTTTGGAATGGTATCCAGAGTGTCCTTGTTACCTGAGGATTAAAAGAATTTTAAAAACTTTAAACCATGAACTCACAACTTCAGACAAAACACACACAGCAAATCTTAGAATAATCAATGTACAAAATTCCATTCTGCATTTTTTATGAGATTTTAGTTAAAACAATTATAATTCAAAAAGATAAGCTTTCAGGGTTAGCAAGTTTTTCACTCAGTTTTCATACAGGAGTATAATCTGAAAATATAAAATCAAGGAAATGTGGAAATCTGAATGGGCATCACTTTGATGTCTCAAACTTATTATGTCAAACTTGATTGAACCAAAAAAAAAAAACTTTTTGAGATATATGGGTATTCGAGTTACTGAGGTTAAAATACATAGAGAAAAAGTAGATGGGGCTTCCAACTTTCAGATATCAATGACATTCGAGACATCAGAGCTTGAGATAAGAAGTTCAACTGTATATCGAAAACAAACCTCAGTCCCACTTACCTGTCCCATACTTGGTGTAATCGTGATCTGGATTACCCAGGGACCTGTCCAACATGTTGAACCTCCAGGGATCTTGCTGTAAATTCTTGTCATTCTCTGAGTTTACAGCATTTACTTCTCTGTCTGTGGCAGAGGGTGTAAACAATGGGCACAAGAAAAACTGAGCAAATCTGGAAAAATAAGACAAGAACATGGTTTATATATTACATAGCTATCATTTCATTTTAAAGATACATAGATTTTCCTCACAAAACATGTATACATTAGGTGTATCTATCAACTTTCAAAGAAAGTCACTAAACTGCAATTTTAAAGAATAGTATTAATTTGCAATTACCTGTCTAAAGCCCCTGGTAAGTTTTCTGGCCTGATATCAAAGAAATAATTTGTGTTCTCTGATGAAGTATAAGCATTTGACATCCCTCCATGTTCACTCAAAAACTAAAAGAAAAAAATCCATAGATCTGAGCATTATATGAACATGATAAAATACCTGACTTTGTGACACAGTTTGAATCTGTTTTTTCTATGAGATTATATTACAGATTGGTCAGGGTTTTTTTTTATAATGACAATAGAAAACATACCTTGTTATATGCATTCTCCTCTTCATACTGAAAAAAAAAGATGATGATAATTAATGAACATCTGCCTGGGTCACATAATAACATTCTTCAGATTATCAAGCTTTAATACGATCATCATGTCAACATTGTCATGAAGCAGATCTGACATTTTCTTTTTTTTTCTTTCAATATAAAAATTGAGTTGAATTTTTTTACATTTATTTTAAGGGAAATATCAAGCCAAATTTAATTTTTTAAAAAAACCAAACCTGTCTTCCTTTGACATATTACCTTTTTTGTTCCAAGAAACAGCATATGTTCACAAAAGTGAGCCAGACCTGGTAGATCTTTAGGGTCTTTCATGAAACCTAGAATGGAAATGATTCTTAAAATGCATAATCACATCATGTATGGCATTTTTAATATGATACTGAAGCCAGTGTTCCAGCTAGGCTCTGAAAATGGAGGGGTGCAAGAAAAGGGCACTTCTTCACAACTTACCATTTGTTGTGAGTTTTTGATGCATAGATGTTTCTCATTACATTAACCTTATAATAATGAACTCCTTCAAATTTTATTATTTACCCTTATTAATTGGAAAGATATATAAACATACACTTATCTATAGCTAGTATCTAAACTTCTTAAAAAGAATTTTAAAAAAATGATAGGATTAATGTTTCTATTCTTTCTTTTTTCCAGTCTTTTTCTATTTCCTATTTTCAATAGTAGCACCATAATTCATATAAACTAGCTGGTCTCTCACATTATTGCAGTAGTGAACATGTAGATCAACATGTACTTGGAAGTTAAGAAATTGAATCTGTTAATTTTTGGCAAATGTATAAATAAAGATACAGTAGTTGTAAGTCATAGTGACATACTAGTATTAAACTTTTAAACTAAAGCCAATATCTTTTTTGTTTGTTATATCATAGTGGTCATGTTGGTGGCAGATCATTAATTAATTAATTTAATTAAGATTTTAAACTTCTGTAAATTAAATGGAACACAGTAACATATTATTTGTGATCTTTTAGAATACCTTCTAAAGTGTCAAAAATCATAATTACGGAGAAAATAATTGAATATTTATACTTGTTTCTGTGGTATTTAAAAATTAAACGTCAACAACTTATAAATAGAATTGAAGGTCAATGTTAAATAAACACTACTTTCTTTTCATGATTTATTTTTAGAACACTTTCAGACAAACTCAGCTATTTAATATCAAAAGAGATAGCTTGGACATTCTCAGAAGTATATTTAAGGTGGTATGGGATACCAAATGAAACTTTTCCTACATATCTATTTACCTGAAATAGGAAGATTTGAAATAATCCCACCCTTTGTTATGTTAATTTGTAATTTTAATATTTTTTAAAATTATTTTAATGAGAAATACAAAAATGATTTTTTCCTATGTAATTCTTTTTTCAAAAGCTTAATATTATAATTAGAAAGTTTACTAATATAAAGTGTAAATAAAAACAAAAATGACAAGAAATAATTAAGTCTTGGATTTTTGTTTAAATTTCAACAAACAAACAAAAACAAGAGGCCCATGGGCCACATCGCTCACCTGAGTAACTTTGGCCATGCTGTTCTTTACCAGATTCCCCCTTTTAATATACCAATTGTGGCCCCGCCCTACTCCTGGGGGTCATGATTTGAACAATTTAGATTCTACACTACCCCAGGATGTTTCCATATAAGTTTCAGCTTTTCTGGCCCAGTGGTTCTTGAGAAGAAGATTTTTTAAGATTTTTCTTATATATTTCAATGTAAAACTTGGATTCCCTATTATGGCCCCGCCCTACCCCCGGGGGTCATGATTTGAACAATTTATAATGTACACTACCCCAGGATGCTTCCATATAAGTTTCAGCTTTTCTGGCCCAGTGGTTCTTGAGAAGAAGATTTTTTAAGATTTTTCCTATATATTTCAATGTAAAACTTCGATTCCCTATTGTGGCCCCGCCCTACCCCTGGGGGTCACGATCTGAACAATTTAGAATCTACACTTCCCAGGATGCTTCCATATAAGTTTCAGGTTTTCTGGCCCAGTGGTTCTTGAGAAGAAGATTTTTTAAGATTTTTCTTATATATTTCAATGTAAAACTTCGATTCCCTATTGTGGCCCCGCCCTACCCCCGGGGGTCATGATTTTAACAATTTAGAATCTACACTACGCAGGATGCTTCCATATAAGTTTCAGGTTTTTTGGCCCAGTGGTTCTTGAGAAGAAGATTTTTAAAGATTTTTCTTATATATTTCAATGTAAAACTTGGATTCCCTATTGTGGCCCCGCCCTACCCCCGGGGGTCATGATTTGAACAATTTAGAATCTACACTACCCCAGGATGTTTCCATATAAGTTTCAGCTTTTCTGGCCCAGTGGTTCTTGAGAAGAAGATTTTTAAAGATTTTTCTAATATATTTCAATGCAAAACTTGGATTCCCTATTATGGCCCCGCCCTACCCCCGGGGGTCATGATTTGAACAATTTAAAATCTACACTACCCCAGGATATTTCCGTATAAGTTTCAGCTTTTCTGGCCCAGTGGTTCTTGAGAAGAAGATTTTTTAAGATTTTTCCTATATATTTCAATGTAAAACTTCGATTCCCTATTGTGGCCCCGCCCTACCCCCGGGGGTCATGATTTGAACAATTTAGATTCTACACTACCCCAGGATGCTTCCATATAAGTTTCAGCTTTTCTGGCCCAGTGGTTCTTGAGAAGAAGATTTTTAAAGATTTTTCCTACATATTTCAATGTAAAACTTCGATTCCCTATTGTGGCCCCGCCCTACCCCCGGGGGTCATGATTTGAACAATTTAGAATTTACACTTCTCCAGGATGCTTTCACATAAGTTTCAGCTTTTCTGGCCCAGTGGTTCTTGAGAAGAAGATTTTTTAAGATTTTTCTTATGTATTTCAATGTAAAACTTCGATTCCCTATTGTGGCCCCGCCCTACCCCCGGGGGTCATGATTTTAACAATTTAGAATCTACACTATCCCAGGATGCTTCCACATAAGTTTCAGTTTTTCTGGCCCAGTGGTTCTTGAGAAGAAGATTTTTTAATGACCCCACCCTATTTTTGTCTTTTCTTGATTATCTCCCCTTGTAAGGGGACTTGGCCCTTTATTTTAACAATTTACACTCCCCTTCAACCAAGGATACTTTGTACCAAGTTTGGTTAAAATTGGCCAAGTGGTTCTTGAGAAGAAGTTGAAAATGTGAAAAGTTTACAGACGGACGGACAGACGGACGGACGAACAGACGGATGGACGACGGACAACGGGTGATCAGAAAAGCTCACTTGAGCTTTCAGCTCAGGTGAGCTAAAAAAGCGTAAAAAACTGGGAAAACTTCATTTCTTGAAAACAGAAATGATGAGCATTTTTTCCCCAAACTTAAAAAGAAATGCACTTTTTTCAGTAATAGTTTTCAACTTTGAACTGTTCTGAAAACAGTGCATGGGCAATCGCTTTCCAAGACATGTCTCATTTAGAGCAATTGCTTTCCTCAAAAAGTTTTGGAACTGTGTACAACAGCTAGCTGATTTGTGACCAAACAGTTGCATGCTTTTGAACTAATTAAATAACAAAGAAGACCATCTCTGGTTAACGTGATAATTGTTTGGTCATGATTCAGCATAATGTGAAGTAATTACACTTATCCAAGAGCAAAAGCTCTATTTCAATTGTTTGAGTAACAGTATAGCAACTTGTGTGCGGTGAGGCATGGATAAGTACGATTACTTCATATTGTGCTGAATTATGACCAATCGATTATCACGTTAACCAGAGCTAGTCTTCGTTGTTATTTAGTTCAAGAAGTAACTGTTTGGTCACAAATCAGATAGCTGTTGTACATACTAAGTCCCAAAACTTTTAGGTGAATGCAATTGCTCTGAACAAGACACGTCTTGGAAAGCTATTGTCCATGCACTATTTTCAAAACAGTTCAAAGTTGAAAACTACCACTGCAACAAAGGCGATTTTTTTTTAAGTTTGGAAAAAAATGCTCATCATTTCTGAAATAGCACCAAGGTTTTTTCAAGCCTTGGAAAATAAAGAAGGATAACTATTCCATTCAGATCTTTTAATTCAAAAAATTTTAAATGCATCTTATATTTTCCATTTATATATATATTTTCAATTTGTTTAGTTCACTTTGCTAACATAGTAAGATACATTCTAATTGTAGACTTTCATGAAATGTTATCTGTCTGTTTTCAAGAAATGAAATTTCCCAGTTTTATACACTTATTTTTTGTTGAAAATGAAAAAAATATTAAAATATTTCTTGTCATTTTTGTTTTTATATACACTTTATATTACTAAATTTCTGCCTATAATATTAAGCTTTTGAAAAAAGAATTATATAAGAAAAACATCATTTTTTATTTCTCATTAAAATAATTTTAAATAAATTGCGTCCAATATCTCTTCTTAATACAACATATAAAATTGCTTCATCATGTATAGCAAATAGGATTAAAAACGTTCTTGACTATTTAATTCATGATAATCAAAAGGGTTTTCTTAGAGATAGATTTATTGGAGAAAATACACGAATGATATATGATGTAATTAATGCCACATATGAAAACCATATTCCTGGTATGATATTACTTATAGATTTCGAAAAAGCATTTGACTCCATATCATGGAAATTTATGTACAATACTTTGCAATTTTTCAATTTTGGCCCTGACCTTATTAAATGGGTTTCAGTACTATATAATAAAGCTAAATTATGTGTTATTCAAAATGGTATCTTTTCAAAATTTTTTGAAATTGGCAGGGGATGTCGTCAGGGTGACCCGGTATCTCCTTACTTATTTAATCTTTGTGTAGAAATTTTAGGACATATGATACGACAAAATAAAAATATCAAAGGCATTAAAATAGGGAAGGAAAAAGTCTGTTTATTACAATATGCAGATGACACAGTTCTTTTTTTGGATGGATCAGAAAAGAGTTTAAAAAGTGCACTTGATCTTCTTTTTCAATTTTCAAAATTCTCAGGATTAAAACCTAATATTTCAAAAACAAAAGCAATCTGGATTGGCTCTAAAATTAATACAGAAAATACTTTATATAGTGATACAGGATTAAAATGGACAACTGAACCATTTACTATTTTAGGCATAACATATACTACAAATCTTAAAAAAATGGAAGAGCTTAATTTTGACCATAAGTTTAAACTTATTCAGAAAGAAATAAATCATTGGTCTAAAAGAAATATTTCACCTTTAGGAAAAATAACAGTAGTAAAAAGTTTGTTTTTATCAAAATTTACACATTTATTTATATCTCTTCCGAAACCAAGTGTGCAGTGGATACAACAACTTGAAAAAGCTCTGTATAAATTCATATGGGGAAATAAAATTGATAAAATATCTCGAAAAACATTACAGTTGGATTCTGAAAGTGGTGGATGCAGGATGACTAATATAGAAACATTTATTAAATCCCTAAAATTAACATGGATTAGAAGAATATTTACAAATAATTCAAACTGGATAAATATTTTTTCTGAAATTACTGGTAGTAATATTAATAAGCTATGTCAGGTTGGATCTGAATATTGTAAACAAAGGGCAAAAATCATACAAAATATTTTCTGGAAAGAAACCTTGCTTTATTTTGCTGAATTTTTAGAAAGTTTTGATTTTAATGATTTAGATATATTGTGTGAACCCTTGTGGTATAATAATAAAATAAAGATTCAAAATAAACATGTATTTTATAAGACAATGTATGAGAAAGGGTTCCACATAGTACATGACTTATTTGATACAGAAGGCAATTTTATTAGTTATGAAAGTATCACAAATGATTATTTAGTTAAGATGCCATTTATAACATATGAGGGACTGAAGCAGGCAATTCTGTATTCATGGCCAAATGTTAAACAATTGTCAAAAAATATTTGTATTAAACCATACCAACCTGAATTTTTAAAAATTCTTTGTCAGAATAAAAAAGGATCCAGAATTATTTATGATCATTTAATGTCAAAAATACAGCACAGACCTATCTGTGAAAACAAATGGGCTATTGATCTAAAGTTAGAATCAGATTTGAATTGGAAACATATTTATACAAACTTTAAATACTTAACTAAAGATTCAGGACTGATATGGTTCAATTATAGAATTATTCATAGAATTTTAGGTACTAATAAATACTTACACATGTCTAAAATTAAAAATTCTCCACTTTGTTCATTATGTGAATTAGAACCAGAAACGATTAAACATTTATTTTTTTACTGTCCACAGGTTTCTATGATTTGGTTAGCATTGTCAGATTGGATTTTTCAAAAGTCTGGTAAAAGAATTAAGTTTGATGTGAAAAATGTTATTTTTGGTATTTTTGAAAAGGATCACATAGCTATAAACTTGATAATTCTGTTAGTGAAGAAATACTTATTTCAACAATCCAGAAAAAAATCATGTATTGTTTTCAATGATATTTTGAGATTTTTATATAATTACTATACTTTAGAAGAGAAATTATCAGAAAATACATTTTACAAAAATAGATGGTCCAATTGGAAATGTCTATTTCATGTGTCTAATTTTTGATATTACTCTTGAATAACTATTGTATGTGTATACATATGTATATGTATGTGTATATGTATGTACTTAAGTTCTTCTTTTCCAACATGTATGAAAGGGTGTGCGAAAGTTTTTGTGTATTTGTGTATTTGTTATGAAAATAAATAAATAAATAAAAAAAAAAAAAAAATTAAAATTACAATTTAACATACTGAAAGGTTGGGGTATTTCAAATCCCTCTAATTTGGGTAAATAAATGTGTAGAAGATGTTTTGTAGGGTATCCCATACCACCTTAAAAGTGCTCAAAAGCAGTGATGTTTAAACTATCTTATATTTGATTTGCTTTTTAAATGTCCCTAGTCAATTTATGTACTTATTTTTTTGGTCTATTGTAACTAAAATGCGGACTAGAAAGAACTTGCACTGAAATAGCTTCAGAGTATTCTTTTAAACTTTTGACCTGATAATAAGCACTCATGCAAATCAAAACAATACTTCAAACAGAAATAGTCATAAGGTTGAGTTATCCCATACTACCTTAAGCCCTATTCAAACTATCAAGCGATCAAAGTAATTACCTAATCACCTATAATTGGAAGCAGACACCTGTACAGTATATAGGTCCCATAATGCCAGTTTTGTTGCATAATTGTCGTGTAATTGTTCAGGATGTGAATTGATTATTGTCCTTGGGTAATCTGCTTTTGACCACACTAATTATTCTAAAGAGGCCGGGAAAAGAAGGGCAGTCAGAGTGATATGGGGCACTAACAGGGGACACAGGGATGCCTGTGGGGGCACAAAAAACGCACTGATTTGAGGGTGGTGCACTGTGCCCCTCTATTTTCCCCTAGCTGGAACACTGTGAAGTTCTTGTAAATCTATATGTATATACTATACTGTGCTAGTATATTGTACTTTTGTGTGTTAAAATGCTTTCTGGGGCCCTTGATTTTCATTATAATATATTGTATGATAAAACGTTGTTATCTTGAACATCGCAAAATGAGAGACCTGATATACTAGATATCAAAGTTGATTACTGAATTCATAACTGTGTCAAGACTGTGGCTAAATTTTGGCATGTCCCTGGAATTCAAAATTCCATTTTTCAAGATAACAAAGGTCAGAGTAATTAGTAATTTAGATGGAATGACAGATCAGAAACAGATAAATTCTTACCAACATGGACATCTAAGGCTGCTGAGGATTTGTCAGTATCTGGGTCACTGACAAGAACTACTTTCATTCCATTTTTCAATGTCATTGCCCGGTAGAGTCGCTTGTCACCTGCAGACCGAATCATGTCGGAATGTTCAACGATTTCCAAAGCACGTTGTGTGGCCATGGCAGAAATTGATCTATTTATAAATCAAATGCAATAAATTAAATCTAAATCTGCAAGTTGTTCTTCTTATATTGTAATGAAAAGAAATAAATTGGAATTTGGAACTATCTTAAAGTTTCACCAGACCTGACTATGAAGTTTGATTCCTGTGATTTGAACATATTTTATCATGTAATGAAATATAAATGGATTGGGCAGCAGGCACTGCCTATATAAGCCCTCCCCACAGGTAAACAAGGTTCATTTAAATTATACAATACCAAAAATATAGTTCACAGGTTCATATCATCCATAGGTTGTAGTTAAATAACATAAAAATTGATTGGAAATTAAGCAGAAAAAAAGAAGAGGAAAAAAAGTTGTGAGTGATTACCATGCAGTTTTACGAAAAAAAATTATCTCGAGGGAAAATGTAATAAGTGGGAAATAAATTATATAAAATACAATGAATGTGTATTTGATAAATAAAATTACATATGTTTACATCATCTTCTGTAAAACGCTTAAACGTTTAAATGCTTTTACATATATGGTTTGTATGAGACAGGGTTCGACATTAACGTTAGTCCGTTAGTTTCAGACTAATACATTTTCATTCGGACTAATAAAATCTGTGGCTTATTAGTCCGAATGAACTAATAAAAATTTCTGGAAAAAAATCAATAAATAACCGATGTTCTATTTTCCACAACTTTCACTGGAAAACCCCACATGTATTTTAAGCTTTCTAGCTTCTTGGCGGGAAGTTGGGTAATTCCGAGTCAATTCCGCGCTTAATTTTAGGACTGATTGGTTTGAAATTAAACATTTTAGCAATCATAATTAAGTATGACACATAAAGATGTCAGACTTTTGGATTTAATGTATATAGAGAAAAACAGACGAGATGGGGAATACGATCATAGTTCCTGATCGCGAGATTTCAACAAATCTTGGAATAAAACATTTTACGTAAATGTTTGTTTATTTCAAAAAGTATAAAAGTACATTGCAATGTTTATTTTTAAATTAACTGTTACAAAACATTGATTTTTTTTTGACGGACTCATAAAATCATGTGCGGACTAGTAAAAGTAAAGAAGCACTAGTCCGGCTGGACTAAAGCCTAAAAATGTTAGTGTTGAACCCTGTGTGAGATTTCCAATTGGCATCACACTGAAAGTTTAATCCTAAATGTGTGTGATTGTTTGAAGGTTCGATCATTGGACCATTTTCACCAAATTAAACATTGGGATGGGAAATATTTTTTCTGGAAAAATTTACATTCACTGTTTTCTTTCGGTTAAAGTCAACTATCCATTGTTTTGACCACTAATCCAACTTCTCTAAGTCATTTGTCAATGAGTTTGCAGCTTTGCAGCACTGACTACATCATTATCATCAATAATGTAGAGTGAGGAATCATCAGCAATTAATCAAACATTGTTAAATTTGAAGAAATATCATTAATATATAATAGGAACAAGAAAGGCCCTAGAACAGATCCTTGAGGGACACCTGAACTAGTCGATCCAATGCAAGAGTTGATGCATAACCATCAAGGACCACCCTTTGTTTTCTATTCACTAAGTAATTCTTAACCCAGTTTATAATTTGATCTGATATTCCTGATTGCCTTAATTTAAATGATTCCTTCATGCCAAACCCTATCAAAGGCTTTTGCTATATCACAAAACACAAATCTTACATCCCTGCCTTTATCAAGACTGGATATACATGATGTAGTATTATTTAATAGATTTCCACCAACTGGTTATAGTGGCTTGAGTCACCTGTTTGAAAACCAGACTGAAACTTATATAGTATACTATTTTCAATTATATAGTTGTGTAGATACTTATCAATAAGTTTTTTTCTAATAATTTGCAAACAACAGATGTGACTGATATAGGTCTATAGTTACTAACATCATCTGCATTTCCTTTAATTTTATAAGCAGGTGTAACTTGGGCAATTTTCCATTGTTTTCCAAATGTTAGAAAGTGTTCCATCGCTAAGTGATATATTGAATATGGATTGTTGTGTAATATGTTTTAAAATTCTAAAATTAAAATTTTAAATTCTAAATTTAAAATTACATGTATATTAATAATTTATAACTGATCTAATACTTCGTTATCTGTAATTCTAAATGGGTCCATATGGTGTAAAGGGGGACCTGGACATCAGGTTGATTATGAATGCAGGAAATATTTGTTAAGAAATTTGTTTAAGGCATTAGCCTTGTCTATAGGATCAAATAATGTTTGAACATCCATCTTAAAAGAAGGTGTTGGCTTGTGTTTATTATTTAGTTTGGATATGATTTCACGATTCTCCACCATTTACCAGGTGATATTGTTTTATTAATCTGTGCTGTTAATTTTTTATTATAATTCTATTATAATTATTATAATGAATTGGTGGATGAAACCCTTCTATTGAAATGCTTTCATTACTTAAAATATTATCCAAATGCATTATTAGAAGAGAACTTGTGAAATTGGATTAACAACTCGTAAAGGTTGGTTTTCTTGTGACAGTTGTGTTTATTTATGTTGAAATTGATAATAAAACGTCTGTTACGTATTTATTTATGTTGAAATTGATAATAAAACGTCTGTTACGTACATTCAGGCATATTTTAAGCAAAATGTCAGTCGAAGTGTAGGCCATCACCGGTTCTAAATTTATACATTTTCCAGAATCAAAACATGAAGGCTTGCAAAGAGAAGTGGATGTAAGCGAAAGCCTGTCCACTTCTCTAAAGAGAATACATACATACACTGATAAATGTCAGGTCCAGTACAATCAGTACATTTAGCTATGTAGCCAAGATTACCTACCATAGCTTTATTTACATACCTTTTAAAAAGACAATAAGTTGCAAGTAAATGTCTACTAATTTTTATTCTAGGTATTATCTAAAAAGCAATTTAAAGCAGAGATAGTTTTAACATTGCTGCATTTGAATACTTTTAAGGAAAATATGTATTTCCATTGTTTGAGTAACTGTAAACCACTTTGTGTGCGATGAGGCTTGAAATAAGTATGTTTACTTCACACTGTGCTCATGTTAACCAAAACTGGTTTTCTTTGTTATTTCACTCAAGAAGTAACTGTTAGGTCACAAATCAACTGTTGTATACAGCCCCAAAACTTTTAGCACTTTGATTGCAATTGTGCAGAGAAAACCACAACTTGAAGAGTGATTTTTTCATGAATTGTTTTCAGATGAGTTCAAAGTTGAAAATTATCACTGCATCAAAGTGCAATTTTCTGCACTTTCTGGGAAAAATGCTATTTTAAGAAATAAGTTTGAAATAGTAGCTAAAAAAAGCTACTTCAGGTAGGTAAATGAAGCTATGTAGGTAACTCAAACTACGTAGCTAAATCTAGTGATTGTACCAGACCTGAATGCTTTAAACATTATTGATTTTTTTTTAAACCATGTACACTCTGTAAGATCTCTGTGTAAATAAGCAACGCAATATATTAAACACTATATTTCTGCACGTACAGTATAAGTCTATAACGGGTGTCCCAGAATCTGACGGTAAAACTGTCGAATAGGTGCAAGTGAGACGCACTCGAATTTCCTCTGTTCCGATGCCATCGCTCAGAACATGGACAACATTCAGCACTTCTTTAACAATTCGTAAAGGAACTAGCAACTGGTATGATATCACTTTAAAGTATTCAAACTTACTAATTACGGGACAATTTTGCAATAAAACAGTTTCTTATGCAATTGTCAGTGATTGTGTTATGTCATAACTCACCTAAATGTTGCCTGCGAATGCGATGGTAAAAAGAGAGGAGAAAACTTATGTTTTCTTGCAGATGGTGAAATAAATCTAAGAAAAGAAGAAGCTCTAGAAAACATTGACGTATCCTTCTACTCTAGACCGCTGGCATCTGGTCACTGGTGTCTAGTGATAACCGTGATTCTGTTTTTTCCAAAGGGCACTCTTCTATGTCAAGAAACAAGAAATGTGTGATGAACTTTTTCTGTTGATCGAGCCCGATTTTAATTTTAAATTCACCTACTACTGAACCCTTGTCCCCTTCCCGAATTTTGAATTTTAATTTTTTATGTAATCAATTTTGCATATAAAAACTGGACTGAAATTAACCCACTTTGAACCCCCAATCCTATTCAACAAGGAAAATCATGGAACAAGGAGAAACGCACATAAAAACAATGCCCACTTTTTCAACTGACCCCCACCCCCACCCAGCCAATATTCTGCGACCATACACACAGAAAACAGGTGGTTCGTAATTTGCCACAATTCATTTACTGTCAGATCTTAGTTTCGGAATAATTTTGACTGAAAAAAAAGTGAAAATGGTTCTTCCAAGCACTTGATACTAGTCACTTATAATAATATCAATAGCCTTTGCAACTGACGAAAGTATGCAGTGTAGAAACCGCTTAATATCGTAAATTATTGCATCAATAGTTGACATGCTAAATAGCCGCTTAATGATATAATTATATCATTAATTAAGCGTCACAAATGCGGAGCGGCCCAAACGCTTAATGAAACAAGCAAATATATACACTTGATCGACCGCTAATGTACATGTAGATTGTCATAAGGAATTAGTGTCAATTCTTTGCCTGCATATGCTTAAAATTATCTATCTAACAATCAATGTTTAGACAGTAAAAAAGGAAATTGTCACTCAATATTTATTTAAGGAATTAGTATCAATCCTTTGCATCAAAGAGCATCCGACTCGTATGTGTGATAATTGCGTAAATTTATGTGTTAATCAGGTCTAGGCGGCCTCTGTTAATTGAAGTTTGAGTGGAACCGCCGTGGACTATCCCGGACGTGAATATTAAATGTACTGCATGGGCATTCCGTCATCAGGAAAACAAAGTTTTATTCTGGACTTTTCCGAGTATTAGAACAAAAACGTGTGTGTATGTGTGTGTGTGGTTGTGTGAATCGAACTGTCTTTCCACAAATTTTATGATTTAAAATTTGTGGAAAGACAGTATCAACAAATACTCTGCATCAAGAAAGTATAATGTGTAATGTTTAATGTGTTCCAGAATGAGGATCGGGATCATACAATGCATGTCAAAAGGTCACGACACATGGGTTAATCAGGCGGACACAAAGTATGCGCGAAAGACGTCTTCTTTTTTTGGAAAGGGGGGGGGGGTTAAAGTGCAATTTTCTCTCCTTTACTTCTTCCTTTTTGCTAGCGCTTTAGTTTAGCCATATTTTATTTGAAAATGACAAGCAGAAAATACAGGCAAGTAGTAAAAAAAATCAAAAAGGATTCAGAAACAAGTTTGAAAACTTACACGAATCCGTTTCCTTATTATTATGATTAAGATGACAGACCCTTATTAGATAGTTAGCGAGCGCCAATCGGCAACCCTCGGCTGTCTCCGCTACGCTCCCTACAAACCTCGGATATGTTTTTTTCTCGACTTCACGAAAAAGGCCGATCGAGTGATGGTCCGATTGCAAATTTTACGCAACATCTATAATTTATAGAACATGTTTATGACTATATATGTGTGCCAAATTTCATTTTGATCTGAATTGTGGTTTTGTAAATATAGAGAAACGCATAGTAGAATTTTAGTGACAAATTGAACATAAAGATTATTTAGTAAAATGATGTATTGACAATAAAGAAATGTGGTTAACAATAGGTCTACAATCTAAATGTCATAATTACTCAATAATTTTAAAATCATAAACAGTTCAAGGTAATTAAAGATCAATATCTTGTATGCCCCCCCCCCCCCCGACACAAATGATAGCCTAAAACGGCATCTAATGGAAGCAAATGAGTGTAGTAAAAAATGTATAGGAATACTCTCCCGCTGTAAATGTAGAGCTTTGATCAGCTGCTGCAGAGTCTGGAGACGCGATTGCCTTTGGCAAATCATGCCAATCCATTTTGTCCCATGCATGCTCAATTGGGTCTAAATCTGGCGATTTAGATGACCATGGCAGAAACAACAGGTTGCCGTTACTTTGCAAGAATGCGAAATTGTCAAACGAGCCGTATGTGGCTGCGTATTGTCAGATTGAAATACGGCTGCAGGATGCTGCAATATTGGAAAGGTATGCGCAGGTAGAACATCATTAGAGTACCTTTTTCCATCAAAGTCCTTTCAATATGAACCAAATCAGTCCTACGTTTAAGTAATACCGTTTTTCATATCATTACACTACCACCACCAAATCTATCTACGTCCTGGAGGCAGTTTTCTGTAAAACGTTCATTACGAAGCTTATGCACTCTTAAACTTATAACAGGCTTTGCGATAAACATTCTGGAATAGTAGCTAAACAAAAATGTTCAACGGTGTTGCTGTGGCCATACTTTGTTGATCTGAGATCTGTTAAGTCGATATTTACGGTGTTGTAGGGTCAGAACAATGGCATGAATAATCCTCTGGCAATAATTCCAGCATTCCATAGTCAACTGCAAACGATCTTGTTAGGTGTTCTGTGCAGTTCAGGGATAGCTAATGCTGTTGATGACGTCATTGTGAAACATTCATGTAAATTAAGTAAGCCACTGAAGCGATCCTGTGCTGCTGATGTCACGTGTGGTCTGCCATATTTTTGGCATTGGGTGTTCCATGTTAATGGTATATGTTTTATAGGTTAGATATGGTGCTGTGCGTAACATTAAAACCTCTTGCAATTGTAGACTGTTGTACAGCTGCTTCCAGTCGCCCATTTTCCTTTTTGTGATATGCAACATTCAGATGCAGCATTTTTATATAGAGTCAATTTTCAGATAAAACTAGAATCAAAATATGGAGAACCCTAGCTTTTGATAGCCCTTTGGTGCCTGAAGCAATTGCATCAAAAACCAACAAATGAAAATTAGGGAATTTTTTTTTTTTTAGCATTTTGCAAAATCAGGTCTTTTGGCCTCTGAGATTTGTAGAATAGCTGTTCAATTAACAAATGCGTAAAAAAAAAATAACGCATTTTACTAGAATGAATCATATCCATCTAAAAAAAATTGTATCACAAAACTATCTTACATTTTTCAGGGTATAATTCCTATTATGCGTTTCTTTTTTTGAAGAGTATATATATATATATTTAATTTTCTTCATATTCCCGGAAATATCGTTACGTCGACTGTTCGCGCAAGACTTCTGTGTATGTTTACGTTTCATCCGGGTTACTCACTCTTACTTTTTTTTATTTAACATTCTTTTTCCATTAAAAAAAAAAATAAAGAATTCGAATCAAAATCAGACCAATGTTCGCCAAAAATATGGCAACTGAAGAAAATAAATAAAATCAGAAAATTAAATCAAGAAGTAAGAATTAAAACGAGAGATAAATATATTAAGATAAAATTGGATAATCAATAAGTTACAATTAAATAGAAATTAAAAAAAAATATTAGTTATATAAAATTGGAAAACAAAAAAGTTAGAATTAAAATAAAAATAAAAACTTTTTTTTAGAAAAAAAGAATTGTGACACTGACATCCCTCCATAGTTTCTCATTATCAAACTTCGACAAACATGCAGACTTTACATTTGTAGACTTGTAGATTGTCTCGTGTTTTATTCAGAGCGCGACTGTGTAGATACCGGAAAACACGTAGAGAGATGACAGACAGATGATACATTCAAGTTTTATGTCTTGTTTGCTACAAGCAGTCGAAATATACTGTTTTTGACGACTGCCAAACGAAATAAAGATTACCAGTAAATTATAGGGGTTTAATGAATATGCAATAACTATTTTATATTTTCACTTCATCTTGTGTTTATACTTTCCTCCTGTAAATTGTTACAAAGTAATACTAATACACCAATCACCTTACAAAAATAGTGAAAAATTTTGATTTACTAATATTAGGATTATTTACATGCAAGTTTTGCTATACTTATTTCAAAAGGGTTACATGACCACGAACCAAGGTCACTTTCAAGCATGGACTTTCTATCCTTGGAGCATTTATATGACGGATATTTAAAAAAAATATGTGAGGCTTCAAAGACGAAGTTATCGAATAGGAATCGCATGTTTCCGATTAGGAATAACAAATTATTGAATAGGAATCACATGTGTCCGATTAGGAATAACAAATTACTGAATAGGAATCACATGTGTCCGATTAGGAATAACAAATGACTGAATAGGAATCACATGTGTCCGATTAGGAATAACAAATTACTGAATAGGGATCACATGTTTCCGATTAGGAATAACAAATTACTGAATAGGAATCACATGTTTCCGATTAGGAATAACAAATCACTGAATAGGAATCACATGTGTCCGATTAGGAATAACAAATTACTGAATAGGAATCACATGTTTCCGATTAGGAATAACAAATTATTGAATAGGAATCACATGTTTTCCAATACAAATAACAGCTTATTGAATTGGAATGATAAATTGCATATCATATCATAACATATTGAAAACACATTTTTTCGCATAAGAATAACAACTTATGGAATAGGAATTACGTTTTATTGAATAGGAATGACATGTTTTATAATAAAAATTAAAAAAGTTTGAATAGGAATAACAAAAAATAATGCAACGTTTTACACGCGATATCCGGGGCCATAAAACTTAGATGAGCTCACTTTTTGATCTCGGTCTCTTTTTTTTTACAAAAGGAATTAATAGTGAACAAGTGAGAGCGAGAACAAAAGTGAGCTCGTCTAAATTTTATGGCCCTAGAACAAGATCAAGCATCCTATGCAAGTCTGGAAGTGAGCATCTATATCTATTAGATAATTCATCCATGCACGTTTAGTCTAGGTAGGCTTAATGTTTTTTTGAAACTAGCTCCAAATTCTTCTGATTGTTCACTCATCTGAATAATGTAGGTCAGCATCCGAAGAACGTCTGGTAGTGGAAATGAGACCTGCTCTTCAAGCTTTACCCTG